ATCTCAGTGAGCGGAGGGTGACTTTGAATAGAATGGGAGGCAGGTTGGCCCTAAGCAGTTCCCAGTTTGACTCGCAGAGGCCAATTTTCCCTCCAATTTGCACATTTATTCCACTATTCCTGATCTATAAACGAATGTTGTTTGGATTTTCCTTGAACTGTTTATAACGTCTTACAGGTTCCCTCCCTTAGTGAGTTAAATACAATCTTTAACACCTGTTCATTTTATATGTGTGTGAGAGTTATGATATCTTCTTTTTGAAAATTATCTTTTAATAACAAGAATAGGCAAGATTTAAAACAAGGTGTCCTGACTAAATTTGGGGTCGAACCCTCACAGAGACCAGGTGATACCAAAAATGGGAGCTGCATATGCTGTAGGGGCTGTGGAGGCTGCAGGGCCTGGCCCCACCTAGAGGGTGGTGGCAGCACAGCTTCAATGAACCGTTGCCCTGGGGAAAAAAGCTGGTGTTTCTAAATTGTCTGATTTTTCAGAAAAAGCTGGAAATCTACGGTTTAATGAGAAATCATTTTTTTTTTTTTTTTTGAGATGGAGTCTCACTCTGTCTCCCGGACTGGAATGCACTGGTGCAATCTTGGCTCACCGCAACCTCCACCTCCCTGATTCAAACGATTCTCCTGCTTCAGCCTCCCGAGTAGCTGGGATTACAGGTTCCTGCCACCATGCCCAACTAATTTTTGTATGTTTTAGTAGAGACGGGATTTTACCGTATTAGCGAGGCTGGTCTCGAACTCCTGACCTCCTGATTCACCCTCCTTGGCCTCCCAAAGTGCTGGGATTATAGGCGTGAACCACCACGCCAGCCGAAATAATCTTTTAAAATTGTACATTAGCAATTAAGTGATATTTTCTAAGAAACACCATGCAGACAAACAAATCATGTTTGAGGCTGGCATCACCTATCTGTGACCTCTACATCTGACCCACATGACTGCCACACACATAGTTGAGGTGTAAGTGTTACTGATTGAGGGTGTCCAGGTTTTTGGCGTTTTGAACAAAGAATTGGACAAAATGCACAAACAAAGCATGGAAAGAATGAAGCAACAAAAGCAGAGATTTATTGAAAATGAAAGCACACTCCACAGGGTGGGAGGGGGCCCAAGCAAGTGGCTCAAGGGCCCGGTTACAGAATTTTCTGGGGTTTAAATGCCTTCTAGAGGTTTCCATTGGTTATGTGGTGTATGGCTAGAATGAAGAGGCTAAACTGAAGTTATAAAGTTATTTACTTGGTATACACCCTATGTAAATGAAGAGGATGAAGTAAAGTTACAAAGTCATTTTCCATGTAAATAGGATATTTCTTGTCATAGCTAAAGTGTTTCAGTTTGATTTAGTTCTAGGAAGTCTTTAGGTTCACTGCCTCGGGGCCCTTTTCTCCTGCCTCCTATGCACTTTTAACACTCAGGGCACACACACACACACACATACACACACACACCCCAGCCTTTAGATATTGGCTGGTCCCCAACAACACCCATACCCACCATACACAAGCATGGCTTGTAGGTTGTACACTGGGCCATATTATTTCAAGGCCCAGATCCTTGCCATGAATAGTAAGCTGGCAATAATTTCCAGTTTTTATTTTATGTTTTTTTTTTTGAGACAGGGTCTCGCTCTGTTGCCCAGGGTGAAGTGCAGTGGCGCGATCGCAGCTCACTGCAACCTCCACCTCCTGGGCTATGGCAATCCTCTCATCTCAGCCTCCTGAGTAACTTGAACTACAGATGTGCGCGGATAATTTTTTGTATTTTTTGTAGAGACAGGGTCTCACCGTGTTGCCCAGGCTGGTCTCAAACTCCTGGGCTCAAGTACACAAGCACCCACCTCTGCCTCCTAAAGTGCTGGGATCACAGGCATGAGCCACTGCACCCAGCCTAATTTCCAGTTTCCTAATCAATCACTCTTAGAAGGTGAGTTCTTCAGGGACAGAGGCCTTGCTTTTAATAATTGCCGCTTCTATGTATGTGTGCACTTATTATATGTATGTCAGATACTTTACATCACTGTATGTCAACCTTGGCTGCACATTGTAGTCACCTGTTTTTTGTTTTTTTTTAAAGTATCAATGGTTAGGTGCCATCTCGAGAGATTTAGATGTCTAGAGTGTGGCCTGGGGGTTGGAATTTTTAAAAGCTCCCAGAGGACTGCAATGTGAGGCTCTGGCTGGGAAGCATGGCCTGATGGTCTTGACCATGTTTAATTTTTCCATTGGCTCTTTTCCCAAGTGTTTCTCATTTCTCCCAGGGACAGTCAAAGCCCACCTCCTCGGAGAGCTCTTATCAGACCCCAAAAGGCAACCCACCCCAATTTGTGTTACTTTAATATGATTTTTTTTGTTATCTAGTATTATTACTTGATGCTATCATCTTGTTTCTTTCTTTCTTTGCTGATTGCGCTTTACTAAGATTCTAATCGTAGGGGGATGGGGTGTGCCTGTGGGGGTAGGGGCAGGGCCTTTATCTTGTTCAGTAGTTGAATCGATGAGTCAGTGAGTGAATAGTTTATCACTGAGAGGTAGTTTCATTATTATCATCTTGAATCTTCATTTTACAAATGAGAAAACTGAGGTCGGAGAGGTTAAGACCCTGCCCAAGTTCTCTCAGCAGGAGGTGGCAGGGCCAGGGTGCAACCTGGGGTCTACCTGACTGGGAACATGTCCCTTCCCTTCCTCCATCTTGTTTATGGCTTGGTTTCCAGTCACTGTGTCTGTGACCTTCCAAAATTTCATCCAAATTCCTTTATGTGGAGATGCCAGGTACTCTCATCTGAAAGGAATATGCCACCGAGGTGGCTGGGAGAGTTAACCTTCCACTGCCTGAGGGTGTTGACCTCTTGTATGATAGTGGAGTGTGTCTGTATTTAGGAGTTGAGAGGAAGCGGGTAACTGGGTTGAGGGGACTTGACAGACAAGGAATGATGCTGGAAGGGTCTGTGCAGCCCCTTCCTATTTCCCAGTGACTCTGCAGGGCATACCATGCTGGCATTGTGGTTACCCTGAGCAACCACCCAAACCTCCACCAAGAAGCAGAACCACAGGGGTGTCTCTCACCCGCATGTACCAAGGAGCGGAGCTACAGGGGCATCCATCACCTACACGCCCACCAAGGACCAGAGCCACGTGGGAATCTCTCATCTACACATATACCAAGGAGCAGAGCTACATGGGCATCTCTCACCCACATCCACCAAGGAGCAGAGCCACAGCGGCGTCTGTCACCCATATCCACCTGGAGCAGAGCCACATGGTCATCTCTCATATAATCTGTAGGTTCAGCCTTAGGAGAAGTGATGTCTAGTTTCACTTCTTCTATGTACCACTGGGCAAGTCCTCTTTCTCATGGATCTCATGAAGAGGTTGTGTTACCGGTAGAGGGTCTTGACTGCGACTTGTCCAGATTCTTGGCATTTTGAACAAAGAAATGAACAAAACGCACAGCAAAGCGAGGAAAGAAAGAAGCAATGAAAGAATGCAGCTGGGTGCAGTGGCTCAAGTCTGTAATCCCAGCACTTTGGGAGGCTGAGGCGGGTGGATCACCTGAGGTCATGAGTTCAAGACTCAAGACCAGCCTGGCCAACTTGGCGAAACCCCGTCTCTACAAAAAATTTACAAAAAATTAGTGGGGCGTGGTGGTGAGTGCCTGTAATCCCAGCGACTCGGGAAGCTGAGGCAGGAGAATCACTTGAACCCAGGAAGTGGAGGTTGCAGTGAGCGGAGATGGCACCACTGCACTCCAGCCTGGGCAACAGAGAGAGACTCCATCTCAAAAAAAAAAAAAGAGCATGAAAGTGGGGATTTATTGAAAATGAAAGTACACTCCACAGTATGGGAGCAGCCTGAGCAGCAGCTCAAGGGCCCCCCAATACAGAATCTTCTGGGGTCCAGACACCCTCTAGAGGTCTCCCATTGGCTACTTGGTGCTCCCTTCATGTAAATAAAGTGTTGGCCCACAATCAGTCTGATTGGTTGCTGAAGCAACCAATAGGAGGCTGAAATGTCAAAGGTCGCCCTCCTGTGCAAACATCTGATTGGTTGCATAAAGCAGGACACAGTGACTAACGCACTTTGGGAGGCTGGAGACAGGCAGATCACCAGAGGCCAGGAGTTCGAGACCAGCCTGGCCATTTCTCTACTGAAAATACTTTTAAAATTAGCCAGGTGTGGTGGCAGGCACCTGTGATTCCAGCCACTCGGGAGGCTGAGGCAAGAGAATTGCTTGAAACCGGGAGGCAGAGGCTACAGTGAGCTGAGATCGTGCCATTGCACTCCAGCCTAGGTAACAGAGCAAGACTCCATCTCAGAAAAAAAAAAAAAAAAAAAGGCAACCAATCAGAGGTACTTTCAATTTCCCATCTGCTGTACAGACAAGGTGAGGGTTTGCAAAGGGAGTAGCCTCTGGTCCTTTTGTTACTTAACTGTGGAAAGTTAGGGTTTTCATTTCAATTTAGTTCTAGGAAGTCAGTGTGAAACAACCTTAGGTTCCCTGCCTCCAGACCCTGTTCTGCTGCCTCATCTCATCCCTGAGAGACGTGATCCCCATAAATCTTTATGGAAGGCAGAGGGACTAATGGACTTTCTTCTGTAACTGCTTCATGCTGACTTGGGCGTAGTCCCTATCTGTTGGAGATCACAGAACTCTCTCCCTACTCTGTCTGGTGGAGACAGGGTGGCTTCTTGACGGCCAGGGGTGGTGTCTTAACTTGGAACTGGCTGGAAACCTTGTTACGTGATCATCTGAGGCTTGATAGTCTCTATGCAAGAGAAAATGAATTCAGTTAAAAGACTTAATGGGAACTTTGGGTGTGGATACCTATGCTGTCAGGAATGTTTGTTATAAAAATGAATTAAAACATTCAGCTTAATTACTACAAAGGAAATGATTCCATCCATTTGGAAGAAGGCAATTAAACTGCAAAAATAAAATCAATGACTACTATTATCCAGCCTACAGTAATTATGCAACAAAGACACCAAGGAAAATTGGTAGGCATTTACTCATCTTTTGGCTGTCTTCTAAACAGGTACTTCAGGGCTTCCACAAGTTCACAGGTGTAGTGGCTGATGGAAGCTTCAGGTTCCTGGTCCGGAGCTTCTGGTATTGCTGGTTTGATCCTTGAAAGGTGTACCCAATCTAATCCTTGCATCTAATCCTTGTACTTTGATGGCAGAAGGCATAGCCAGTATTACTGGACATGGTCCCTTCCATTTGGGTTGTAATTGTTGAACAGTTGATCCCTCCTTCTGTGTTTTACCAAGTACCTTATCTCCTGGCCTGATTTGGGGTTGCTGGTTAGTTCCCAGTAAGGGGAGCCTTTGAATTCCACACTTTTCTAAAGCCTGCTGAAATTGTCCTAGGTTGACTAGGTATTTTAAACTGGCTATTTCTGGATCAGTAATTATTAGTTAAGAATGGCCTTCTGTATAACATTTCATTATATTCGCTTATATTAATTTTTGCTCTAGAGGTATTATGGATCCTTAAGAGGGCGATGGACAGTAAGCTGACCCGAGTTTCTGATGTTTCCTGACATAGCTTAGCTAACACCTGTTTTAGAGTTTGGTTACCCGTTTCTACTTTCCTGGAGGATTGAGGCCTCCATGCTGAATATAAATGGTATTTGATTCCAAGAACCTTAGCAACCGCTCAAGTTATTTGGAGATAAAGGACAGGACATTATCACTTTGGAGGCTCTGAGGTAACCCAAACTAGGGGATTATTTCTTTTAAGACAACCTTTATAATCTCATTAGCCTTCTGTGTTCTGGTAGGATAAACTTCAACCCAACCAGTAAAGGTATCTACTAGTACTAACAAAAACTTGTATCCTCTGCAAGCTGGCATATAGGTGAAGTCTAATTGCCACTCTCCCCCTGGAAACTTTCCTCTCCTCTGGATTGGTTCTATTAGAGGGGGCATTTTGTTTCCCGGGTTGTTAAGTGCACAGAGTGAGCAGGCTTCGCAGACCTGCCTAGCCACTGAAGTTAGACCCAGTAAAGAGCTTGTTTACCATAATCAGAGTTGCATCCCTCCCAATATGGAAAGAGTCATGCAGGGCTTTTATAACTTTCTACTGGGCTGTCTGAGGGAGATATATTTTTGACCCCATATACCACCAGGATCCTTCTTTTTGTTCCCCTTGTTTCTTTATTAACTGTTCTTACTAACCAGTATTCCCCTAAAGGCTTTAGAATAGGTAAGATGGGGATATTGCAGGGAGAATTACAGGGTTTTAAGAGCCCATGGGTAAGTAATACCTCAACTATGGGTGCTGGGTCATTTCTCACTTCCTGCTTAATCGGGTATTATTTTTGATTAGGAAAATAGCTGGGGTCTTCAAGCTGTATTTTGACTGGCACTGCTGTTTTAGCCTTCCCCGGTTTTCTAGTATACAATGCCAGCAGGTTAACCTGTTTATTAATGTGGTCTTGGACATTGTCTGTATTTTTGGCTATTAGCAATTTCACTGGATGATGTTTAAATTGTAGTAGTGCCCTTATTTTAACCATAATCTCTCTTCCCAGCAGGGGGTTGGGTAGCTTGATACTACTAGGCATTCCTGTTGGAAGATTTGTTTCTTAAATTGACAAATCAAAGGATGAGTAAAAAATCTGGTTTGTGGTTTCCCTTCCAGTCCTGTAACACTCATGGACCAGGAGGAAAGTTTCCCTGCATAAGCAGTAAGGACAGAGTAATTTGCCCCTGCATCAAAATGAAACTGAATTTGGGTGCCCACGACATCCAGAGTTACTCGGGGCTCCCCAGAGGTAATTGTAATGTTCCTGGACAGGGGCAGTGAGGAAGATCCCGGGCCCCTTCAGTCTTCACCTGATTCCTCCTTTCGCACTGCTAGAGTTTTGCCTAACCCAGCCCCTCCGTGGGAGCAAAGGCAGTCAATTCTCCAGTGCTAGGGTTCATGACTGGTGCCTTTGCACTGACAGCAGGGGCCTTGGGCGGGGAGGGGGGGTACTTAGTACATTCCTTTGCCCAATGCCTGCTTTTCTTGCATTTGAAGGAAGACTTGCCTTTGCTGGCATTATCTTTACGGTCCTCCGGGTTTCCCTTAGACACTCTTTGGGCGTTCAGGGCATCACCAATGATGGGCTGCCATAATTTTGGCTTGCATCTTTCTTTACTCTGTTCTCTTTTTCCTTCCTCCAGGTCATGATTGTTATACACCATAAAGGCAGTATCAAGAAGTTGATTTTGATTAGTTTGTGGCCCCATCTGTAGCTTTTGGAGTTCACGTCTAATGTCTGGGGCAAACTGGCTAATGAAATGCTGTGCCATTAATATTTTGCCTTTGGGAGAGGAAGGGTCCAGATTAGTATATATTTAAAGGCTTCCTCCAGCCTACCATAAAACATGGCTGGATTTTCCTTCTTGCCTTGTGTAACCTCCCATACTTTATCATAATTTACTCCCTTAGTTAATCCCTTTCTCATTCTTCCAAGGACAGTCTCAAGAAATTTAGCCCAGTGGTTCATTCCCATGGGGGCGTTATAGTCTCAATTAGGATCAGTAGTGGGAACTGTGTCTGGGCCTCGGTAATTGCCCTGAGGGTTTCAGGCGGATAATTCATCCACTTCCTTGCTGGCAGCCTCAAAGATGTGTTCCTTTTCTGAGGGAGTGTCAACAGGTCAATTCATTGCTAGAATGAATTGACCATCTCTCCATGAGAGATGAAAGGCTAAGGTCAAAGTTTGGAACCCATCTGCAAATTTCCTAGGATTCTCAGAACAGCTTCCTAGCCTTTCCTTACATTGTTGTATATTAGTTGTAGAGAAGGGGGCCTGCACTAGGACTGGCCCCTCAACTCCTGCTACTTCCCTAAGGTGTAGCAGGGCTGGAAGGAGAGTTGAATACAGGGTTCCCCTCCGAATGTGAGGGGGACTTAGTAGGGTCTCTGGTGTTTGCTCCTGGGCTGTATGGGAGTGGTCACTGTTCACTCTGAGAGACAGGTGGCCCTTGTAAGCGGGGGTCATCTATAATATGTAGTTCTCCCTTAGAACTTTCCTTTGTGGGGTGGGTTCTGGGAGTTTCACAGATTCTTAGGTTTTGGTATAGGGTCATGAAAGTCTGTACATACAAGATTTCTGGCCATTTGCCCTGCCTCTTGCAAAATAGGTCTAATTGCAGGATGATGTCATAATTAAGGCTACCATTGACTACCCATTTTTTCCAGGCTGGGCAGCTCATAATGGAGCCAGACAGTACTGCAGAAAAAAATTATATGCTTTCTCTTTAGATTGTCAGGGTCAAATTGATTCCAATGGTGGAGGATGTAGCCAAGCGGGCAATCAGGTGGAATAGGTGGAGAATTGCCCATAGTGGTCTGGAAAAGAGAAGAGGACTTTGAAAAGTGGAAGGCTCACCAGGTGACCCAAATTTTACCTGGGACATTCCTACTATGAACTTTCCTTAAGGTTTTCCCATGCCACTTAAACCAACCCTTTAACTCTTTCAATTTAGGCAACAATAGATTCCCTTTCATGAATTACCCCCACTCCCCATGCACCACACAGACCACCTATGATATGCCTGGCCCCTCTGACTCATATAACTTTTTTGCATAGCTGGGTGGGTTTTCTGTCCTTAGCCAGTCGAGTAGGGGAAGGGAAGGGAAGGGAAGAATTTAGCATAAGAAAGTTTAAGTCACCTGAAACATGTGTGAGTTTGCCCTGAATGAGCTGCTGCTGCCAACCGAGACACAGGTAGGGATCAGGGACTATAATCAGAAAGGATAGAAAAGAGTCTTTCACCCTTCTGGGCAGGGCAGCCATCCCTGTTCCCTCGTTGGCCTTCAGAGAACACTGGAGAGTGGCCCTGACCAGTTCCCCTCAATTACCAAGGAGTTACTAGGAAACAACCAGTGAAAGACTGAAAAAGCAAAAAAGGAAAAGAACTCCGAAAAGAAAGAAAGAAAGAAAGAAAGAAAGAAAGAAAGAAAGAAAGAAAGAAAAAGAAAGAAAAGGAATAGGACTCAGACAAATGAAAACAAGGAAAAAGACTCCTCACCCTAAACAGGCAGTGGTGGTCAAGTGCTTCGACATGGAAGCCTTTCAGTTTCACCAGACAGTGGCCCTGGCCAGAAACTTGCAATTTCCTCTGTGCTTAGGCGCTGCCCACTGAGGGTTCCGAGTTGGAAAGGAAGAGAGGGAGGGAGAGAAAGATTCCCCTGCATTAAAAGGGAAAAGGAGAAAAATCAATTCCAAGCTTTGGGCCTACCTTCTCTCCTGGCTGGCTTGCCAAAATATGTTTCCTGTAGAGGGTTTTGACTGAAAGTTGTCTAGGTTCTTGGGGTTTTTGAACAAAGAGTTGGAGAAAACACACAGAAAAGCAAGGAAAAAATGGAGCGATGAAAGAACAAAAGCAAGGGTTTATTAAAAATGAAAGTACACTCCACAGTGTCGGGGCGGGCCAAGCAGCAGCTCAAGGGCCCAGATACGGAATCTTCTTGGGTCCAAATACGCCCTAGAGGTTTCCCATTGGCCACTTGGTGTTCACCTCATGTAAATGACATGGTGGCCCACAATCAGTCTGATTGGTTAACTAGAGGACGAAGTGAAGTTACAAAGGTCACACTCCTGTGCAAACATCTGATTGGTTGTGGAAAGCAACCAATCAGGCTGAAGTGAAGTTACAAAGTTGCACTTCTATGCAATTTTAACATAGAAATTGAAATGTAGCATAGCAATTGAAATGTGCTTTCAATTTCCCATCTGCTGCACAGAAAAGGTGGGGGTTTGCAAAGAGAAAGTAGCCTCTGGTCCTCTTGTTACTTAGCTGTGGAAAGTTAGGGTTTTCCTTTCAATTTAGTTCTAGGAAGTCAGCGTGAAATGGTCTTAGGTTCCCTGCCTCCAGACTCTATTCTCCTACCTCAGTTGGGCTAGATGAAAGGGAAGAGTTGATCAGAATGGGAGGATCATTAGGTAAAGTGTGGAGCTTAGTTAATAATAGTGTACCAATGTCATGCTCTCAGATTTTTTTTAAAAAATTTAATTTTTTATTCTTTTGCCACCTCCTTATCGCTGGCAGTTGAAAGGACCCCCACGCCTGCGGGTCCCAGTTATGCACAAGCAGAAGCTCTGGGTCTGCAGCCTGAACCCCCGGCCAGGCCACAGGAGTCATACTCAACAACAGAAGAAACGAAGAGAACTTTGTACTATTTTTGCAACTTTTCTGTAAACCTAAAATTAATTCCAAAATAAAAAGTTTACTTTAAAAAAGATGATCAGGTGAGTTTTAAATTCTACACATGCATTCATGTACTCAACAAATTGTCTATTATGCATCAGGCACTGGGTATGAGTGCCTCAGTCATGATGCCACCCCGTGTGGAGTTCACAATCTTGTGGTAAGTTGGTGGTACCAGTAACCCTGTTTTATCTAAAAGCAAATCTCCAACTCGTGTATTAACCTGACGAAATCTTGGCTGTTGGGGTGTCTAAAAAGAAGTCTTGCTCTATCCCTTCCTAGCTGTGTGACCTTGGCGAGCTAACCTCACTGTGTATCAGTTTCCTCAGTCCTAAAATTGGGGAAGAAAAAAAGCATTCCCTCGTGAGTCCTTAGCATGCTTTCAAGCAGTTACTAAATGTTAGTTTGCAAAACAGCCATAATTATTAAAAAAACACGGATTCATGAAGTCAAGAGATCAAGACCATCCTGGACAACATGGTGAAACCCTGTGTCTACTAAAAACAGAAAAATTAGCTGGGCGTGGTGGCGCGTGCCTGTAGTCCCAGCTACTCGGGGGGCTGAGGCGGAAGAATCGTTTGAATCCGGGAGGCGGAGGTTGCAGTGAGCCGAGATCGCGCTACTGCACTCCAGCTCGGGCAACAGAGCGAGACTCCGTGTCAAAGCAAGAAAAAAAAAAAAAAAACACGGATATGGGGAAGCGTAACACTGCAGAGAGCCTGACATTTTTGTCAAGAAAGATTTGGGGATGAAAACACTGAATCCGCGGTTTCCCAAAGGTCCTTCCTTTAGGAAGGAGGTGATGGTCCCGGCACGAGTGCACAAACCGCAGGTCCGCTCCATCCCCGGCCCGGCGCCGCTCTTCCCAGAAGCTCGGCTCCGCCCTGCCCCCGACTCCGCTCGGCCCCTTCTCGCGCCATGGCCCCGCCCCTCCCGTGCGCGCAGCTTCGCCCCGCCCTCGGGATCCCGTCCCAACCTTGTGCTAAGCTCCCTTCAGTTTCAGAAGCATTCATTCCTTTGCAGTCAGCTCCGCCCCTTTCTCCTCCAACTCCGCCTACGCCCCACAGAGGGAAGGCCTTAACACCTACGCTAGAGAGATAGACTCCAATGAAAAGAGCGAGGGGGCGGAGCCGGGAGGAATCGGTCCAACTCTCGGCCGGGAAAACTCTGGCCGGGGCGGGGCAGGGCGAACCTGCCAGTGACTGGACTCAGCTTTGCATAGCAATACACAGCTTTGCGTAACCAATACAGGAAGGCATTTAAAGGCGCCTCTGCTGCCACAGACCTTGCAGTTAACTCCGCCCTGACCCACGCTTCTCAATGCAGTCCCTGATGCAGGCTCCCGTCCTGATCGCCCTGGGCTTGCTTTTCGCGGCCCCTGCGCAAGCCCACCTGAAAAAGGTGAGTGCACCCTCCTTTAAGAGGCTGTTTGCAGCCTCCTGGCCCAGCTACGGGTATGCGGGTCTGGCTGAGATATGGGGGTGGCCACTGCGTTATCTAGAGTTGGCTCTCTGCACTAGAGCCTTCCAAAGTAACTAATTATGGGATTCTGGTCTGTACAATGAGCGTGGCCTGTAAAGACTTGTTGTGCTCCAGGCCCTTTTTGGAGAGATTCATCTCACATCTGCACTCTGCTGCCCTCTCTCCAAGCGCCGGAGTGAAAATGCAGAGAGCCTTAAAACTAAGGCATTGCCCCCAGAGATTCAGTCCTGTTACCCTGCACCTTACTCCTGACTGCCACTCCTTATGTCCCCATGATAAGGCCTGTTGCCTCATCTCTTCCCCTGCTCGAATGCCCTGAGCTCTTCCTTAGACGTAGGAGGACTTGAGAGCTTCTCCAGGCCAGAGGATCCAGATTTGCCCATCTGGTGACAAATGACCAGGCCTGTGACCCCGCTGCCCTTGGTTGTGAGCCACTGAGACAACAGTCCCCCTACCCTCCAAGCTTCCTCCTTCACTTCTTATTCACACCGTGCTGCAGATCCCTGGGAAAGGGAAGTTCTGTAATCCCTTGACCTGAAAAAGCCTAGTTCCTGGCTTATTGCAACTAGCTTCATAGATTCAGTCTATGTTGTTGCAAATGACAAGATGTTCCCCCTTTTAAAGGCTGAATAGTATTCTGTTGTGCATATATGCCACATTTTCTTTATGCATTCAATTTGATGGATAATTTCTTTATCCATCAAGTGTCTGTTGATGGACACTTAGGTTATTTCCATATCTTAGCTATTGTGAGTAATGCTGCAGTGAATATGGGAGTGCAGATAGCCCTTCGAAATTTCAGTTCGTTTGGATACATACCCAGAAATTTCAGTTCCTTTGGGTATATGCCCAGAGGTGGGATAATGGTTCATATGGTAGTTTTGTTTTATTATCTCACTTATATGCGGATTCTAACCAAGTTGAACTTACAGAAGTTGAGAGTAGAGATGGGGTCTCACTCTGTCACCCAGGCTGGAGTGCAGTGGGGCGATTATAGCTCACTGCAGCCTTGAACTCCTGGGCTCAAAACAGTCCTCCCACCTCAGCCTCCTGAGTAGCTGGGACTACAGGTGTGGGGCCACTGAGTTCTGCTAAGCAGTAGGCTTTGAGATTTATTGCACACCAGGGTGACTATAGTTAGTAATGTATTACATACAGAAGCTCCTTAACTTTCCATGGGGTTACGTTCTGATAAACCCATCGTAAGTTGAAAATACCATTAAGTTGAAAATGGATTTAATACAACTAACCTGAGCATCATAGCTTAGCCTAGCCTACCTTAAACATGCTCAGAACATTTACATTAGCCTACAGTTGGGCAACATCATCTAACACAAAGCCCGTTTCATAATAAAGTGTTGAATGTGTCTCATGTGATTTATTGAAGACTGTACTGAAAGTGAAAAACAGTATGGATACTTAAAGTACAGTTTCCGCTGAATATTTGTCACTTAGGCACGATTGTAAAGTGGAAAAATGGTATGTCAAACCACAGTAAGTCAGGAACTGTGTGCATTTCAAAACAACCAAGAGAATACATTTCACATTGCACCCCGTAAATGTATACAACTGTGGTTTGTCAATTAAAAAAAAAAAAACCCAAGACCAGGTGCAGTGGTGCACACCTGTAATCCCAGCATTTTGGGAGGCTGAGGTGGGCAGATTGCTTGAGCTCAGGAGTTCAAGACCAGCCTGGGCAACATGGCAAAGCCCCATCTCTGCAAAACATACAAAAATTAGCTAGGTGTGGTGGTGTGCACCAGTAGTCCCAGCTACTCGGGAGACTAAGGTAAGAGGATCGCCTGAGCCTGGGAGGTCGTGGCCACAGCTGAGATTGTACCACTGCATTCCGGCCTGGGTGACAGAGTGAGACCTTATCTCACAAAAAAACCCCAAAAACAAAAAACCAATTCCATTGCCTCTTGGCTGCTAGCCAAGACATCAAACATTTCTGGTAGCAAAGGGATAGGTCCACCCCTGATCCCCTCCCTCCTACCATCTTGGAAGTGTTTGAGAGTGAGGAACAGTGCTGTGTAGGGGAAAGTGTGTGGTACTGAAAGCAGGGAGGCTTGGCTTCTGATCCCTCCCCTGTCTCAATCCCTGGATTCCCTGAGTCTTGGTCTCCTCATCTTGTACGATGGGTGAGATGGTGCTAACCTGAATCTCGTCAGTGAAGGGAAATGCATTCATTGATGGAAAAGTTCTAAAATCAGAAACAAATAAAGCCATATAAATCTGTGGGCTTGGCCTCACTGTGCCCCCGAGGCAGAAAGTCTGTTTTGCTTGTTGAATGAAGGAATGTGGAACTTTTGATTCCTTTCATTTGCCTGGAGAATTTATACCTTGTTCCTGAATATTGGCTGGGAATGTTTCTCTTGGCTCCAGGGCTGGCCGCTATGAGGTGGAGTCTGGCTAGAGGCTGCTAGCTTACCCTACAAACTTGTTCTCATTTATGCTGTGGGTATGGATGCCATCTCAGACTAGGTCTTAGATTGGCAGTTTTGAAGAGGCTCTGAGACATTATAAAGGTCACTCAAAATCACACAGCACCTACATCTCAGGGCTCATGTGATTCAGAGGCCTGACCTTGAGTCCCTGGGCCAGATAAAAACTGGGGGAGCAGGGGGTGACAGTGAGTGAACATCAGGAAACCTGAATTTCAGTTCCTCTTCTAGCATAACTGATCTTGTGACTACGGGCTGTGATGAGTGTTAGATAACAGGGGAGGATATCTAGCCCCATGCTAGTCATATAGTAGACGCTTAATAGACTATAGTGCTATATAGTGGCTGTCATTTGTTGTACACATACTATGTGCTATGTATTGAGCTATGTGCTTTTTTCCTAAAAAAAAAGATTTGGAATAATTTTAGGTTTATGGAAAAGTTGCAGCGGTGCGTGGTGGTTCACCTCTATAATCCAGCACTGTGGGAGACCGAGGCAGGCAAATCACTTGAGGCCAGGAGATCGAGACCATCCTCAACCTGGCCAACATGGTGAAACCCTGTCTCTACTAAAAATACAAAAATTAGCCAGGCATACACCTGTAGTCCCAGCTACTTGGGAGGCTGATGCAGGAGAATCACTTGAACCTAGGAGGCAGAGGTTGCAGTGATCTGAGATTGTGGCTGCTGCTCTCTAGCCTGGGTAACAGAGTGAGACCCTGTCTCAAGAAAAAAAGAAAGAGAGAAAGAAAAGTTACAGAGATAATATAGAATTTCTATATAATCCTGACTCAGTTTCTCCTGTTAGCATCTTACATGTACATATCTCCAAAACTAAGGAACCAACGTTAGTACATTACTGTTAACTGAATTCTAGACTTTGTTTGGATTTCACCAGTTTTCCCATTAATGCCCTCTTTCTGAGCCAGGATCCAATCCAGGGTACTGCATTGCCATTTCATGACACGTATCATTGTAGTCCCCACTCTTCTCTGGCCTATGACAGCTTCTTAGTCTTTCCTTGTTTATTCATGAGCCTGACAGTCTTGAGGAGTTGTGCCCTGTGCTTTCTGTATACAAACATCTTGCCCTCACAATAGTCCCGTGAGAAGATACCATTATGTCCACGTAATAAATGAGGAAATTTTGAACCTCTAAGGGGTTAACTTAGCCATGGTCTCAGCTAGTGAGACTGGCTGAGCTGGGTTTTAACTCATACCTGTAGTACCCATATCTCTGCCTCCAGAGCTGTGCCTTTCCCCTCCGTCTTGTGCCACCCCTTCCCACTTGTTGGCCTAGGCTGGGATGACAGATATCTGGTGACCAGCCTGGCCTTGGTGGGCACTGCTAATCCATGACACCTCCCTTTCCCTATGAGCCTGGACTCAGCAGCAGAATTTGTCACTACAGAGACAGCTAGCCGGGCACTACCCTTAGGAAGCCATCTTGTTACGTCTCCCCCAGGACCTGGGGAAAGGAGAGCTTAGGAGAGGGGAAGGGATTCTTCTCCAATAGGTACTCTGGACTCTGGATACCCTACCCCCACCCCCAGCCCGGAATCAATCCTCTGTGTGGATCAGACTGCCTTAGAATCTGTGAAGCAGCCCCACCCAGAAAACTAGTCCTGCTCCCATGTTGCCCTCCAGCCTGACTCTTAATTCCAGGCATTCTTTCCCTTGACCACTTTCAGTCTGTTCACAACCACAAATCACAGTGTAGCACTGGCCTTCAGTGGGGTTCCACGCACCTATAGTAAAAGCAACCTCCCGATTATGGCTTGTGGGGTCCTGCATTAAATGACCCTGCCACCCCTCCAACCTCATCTGGGTCCCTCATCCACTACATTTAGCCCATGGCCTTCTCCCAGTTCCTAGAGCAGTCAAGCTTCTTTGTGCCTCGGGGCCTTTGCCTGAGTTCCCTCAGCCTGGCCTGCACTTACATGTCTGACTCCTCATCCCCCAAGCGTCCAGCTTAAGTATCACTTCCCCACCACCCTATCTAAGTGAGTCCTTTGTTGCTGTCAGCATTACCTTCTGCTCTTTTCCTTTGTGGCACTCACAAATCACAGTGGGTGATATTTATTTACATTAGACGGTAAGCTCCTCAAGGCAGGGCAGGAGCCAGGTGTGATTGTTTACCACTCTTGCCACAGTACTTAGCCCAGGGCCTATCATCATTGCTCCATAAATATTTGTGAAATGATTGTTGAAGGAAACATTTATTGGCAACTATCCTGTCCTGCCTTTCTTAGTCATGACATGACCTTTCATTCCAAGGGGTAGGAACCCATTCCTAAAAGCTCAGCTAAAGGGGAAGTTTATTACAGAGCTACAAGACATCTCATGGAGCTGCCGGCAGGAAGCGGAGGCTAGGATGTTAATGGCTCCCATTTAGTGAGCCGGCTCGCGTGCGTTGTGCCTGGCATTGGGTTATGAGCTTTACATACATACTCTAGCCCTTGCAACATCCTGGAGAGGAAGGTAGAAATGCCTCCAGTTAAAAGATGTGGAAATTTAGACTCCAAAGGTGAAATTGGCCTATAAAATCACATGGTAAGTGTGGCAGAAATATGATTTCCACCCCGGGCTGTTTGGCTAAAGTTGTCATTCACCCATGTCTCTCCAAAGCTGTGCCCTTCACTGCTACTCCATACTGCTTTTATAGATAGGGAAGTGGGACTTCATCTGTTCCGTTTTCTACAGACCAACAGAGCCTGTAGCTCTTATCCCTTCATTAACTTCTGCTTGGTCATGGATCACAGATCTAGATGGTCTGGCCTCAACCCAAAACTTAGGATCCAGTGACAGCACAAAAACCCTGTATCCCCAGCCTTTTATGCCTTAATTCCAAAATTGGGCAGAGAGAATCTGTCAGCCTAGCTGGGGTTAAGTGATCCATCTTGATCCAGTCAGTGATGGGAGTATTGAAGGTGGGCATCAACTTGGGGGTGTGGGACTGGCAGGTTTTCTCTCTGAGACAGGGTGTGGATGGAGGGAATGCCAACAGTCTCTCATAGGTGGCCTCCAGGGGGCTGGGAGAGGTGCGAGTGGGTGGGCAGAGAGTCTTCACAGTGTGGGAGGTGTTCAAGATCATCAGACAGGCCGGGAGCGGTGGCTCACGCCTGTAACCCCAGCACTTTGGGAGGCCGAGGCGGGGGGATCATGAGGTCAGGAGTTCGAGACAGGCCTGGCTAACACAGTGAAACTCAGTCTCTACTAAACAAAATACAAAAAAATAGTCGGGCATGGTGGTGGGCGCCTGTAGTCCCAGCTACTGGGAGGCTGAGGCAGGAGAATGGCGTGAACCCGGGAGGCGGAGGTTGCAGTGAGCTGAGATCACACCACTGCACTCCAGCCTGGGTGACAGAGTGAGACTCCGTCTCAAAAAAAAAAAAAAAAAAAAAATCACACAGGGTCCTGTTGGAGTGCAGAGTGGTGGTCACATGCAGTCACATGCAGATGTAGTGGTGGTGGAATCAGGAGACCTGGGGGATGTGGAGGAGGAACAGGAGGAGCAGCTCAGCAGAGGGGTGGCGGGTGACCCTAGTGGGCACATGACCTGAGAAGTGGGATGGGAAGAAGACACTGGTTAGGACTGGGGAAGTCCATTCACTGGGGATTATTCATCAGCAAGTGATCCACTGGGGATGTTTTCATGAGTGTCCTATTCCTTCCTGAGTTAATCACCTGCCCCTTGAGAGTGGGATTTCAGATGCCGTTAGATTTCCCATTGTGTTTTGTGTTTCCCATTGTTCCTGGCTCTGGGTTGGGCGTGGGGTGTGACATGAACAAGGTCCTGGGTGTGGGCTGCAGAGCTGAATCCTCCAGGAGCTTGCCCTCTGCTGGGATCCCAAGGCTGGCTGGAGAGGAGCGGGCAGCAGGGAGGAGGGAAGTCAGAGAAGGTGCCCACCAAAGGACGATTAGGTCAGTCTCCGGTTTTGAAGTTCCAGGTCTGTCATATCCTGCCTTATAATTTACAGTATACTTTTGGGAGATTATGTCTTTTAAGTCTTTTAGTTTAGTCCTGCCTATGAAATGAGTAGGACAAGTGTTATCCCAGGTTCATAGGTATGGAACCTCATAGAGGAGGCTCAGGGACGGGGGTGCCTCACCCAAGGTCACGCTGCCAGGAGCTCGTTTTTCCTGTGATCTGTGATAGTTTCTTTTCAACCTTTTTCTTCTCCTCCTTCCTTGCTGCCTGATTGTCCCCGGCCATCCCAGCTTGGTAGCTTCTCCTGGGATAACTGTGATGAAGGAAAGGACCCTGCGGTGATCAGAAGCCTGACTCTGGAGCCTGACCCCATCCTCATTCCTGGGAATGTGACTGTCGGTGTCGTGGGCAGCACCAGTGTTCCTCTGAGTTCTCCTCTGAAGGTGAGCCTGGGGGTGGGTAGGGAAGGGGAGGTGCAGGTCTGGCCAGCAGGGGCACTGTGGCATGTATGCTTGGGGAACGGTGAAGAATTTCAGAATCCTGGATTCCCAGAGAATAGTACAGGACATGTAGATTCAGACACTCTTTCACAGGTTCATGGAATCTCAGGATCATGGGATTGAAAGGAATCTCTGATGTCAGCGCCAGCAACTTCCTGGTGAGGGCAGGAGTGATGGATACCTTGCGCCTGGCAGGAGCGTCCTGGCCTTCTCTGGGCCTGATGGCCAATGGCTCGTTATTGTCTGACTACTCTGGTTGGCCAATTCGGTTTTGTTGTTAATTATAAAATCGATATACCAATTAGCCAGTAATATGTAGTCACTTTAGAAAACAGAAGTCATCAAAAAATAAAATGAAATAGGCCAGGTGTGGTGGCTCACGCCTGTAATCCCAACACTTTGGGAGGCTGAGGTGGGCGGATCTTTTGAGGTCAGGAGTTTGAGATCAGCCTGGCCAACATGGTGAAACCCCATCTCTACTAAAAATATAAAAATTAGCTGGGCGTGGTGGCATGTGCCTGTAATCCCAACTACTCAGGAAGTTGAGGTAGGAGAATTGCTTGAACCCAAGAGGCAGAGGTTGCAGTAAGCCAAGATCGCACCACTGCACTCCAACTTGGGTGACAGAGTGAAATTCTGTCTCTAAATAAATAAATAAATATCACTTGAAATCTCACTACCTAGTGATAAGGGGTAAGCACTTTTAACATCTTACAGGATATTCTTTGCAACTTTCCCCCATACAATTACATATATGACATACATATTTATTTTTAATGGATGTGTATAATAGGCAGTGCTCATTGTAAATGTCCTCCAGTAATCTAAATCCTAGAGATAGTCAGTGTTTGCTCTTTAAATATCCAGTCAGAATTTTTATGTGTTTGTAAATATATATACACTTATACTCATGGGATTATATGAGATGTGCTATTATACTTGCTTTTTTTTTTTTTGCATCATACTATATGTTCCATATCTGTTTCCAAGGATTAGGTAACTCTACTTAGTCAATTTTTTGAGTTGTATATAACCCAATCATTATTTAATTATTTTAATTTATTGTAATTTTAGAACAATGTCTCACTCTGTTGCTCAGGCTGGAGTGCAGTAGTGTGATCATGGCTTACTGCAGCCTTGGGCTTAAGGGATCCTCCCACCTCAGCCTCCTGAGTAGCTGGGACCACAGGCGCATGTCACCATGCTTACCTAATTTTTTAATTTTTTATATGGAGACAGAGCCTCCCTGTGTTGCCCAGGCTGGTCTCAAACTCCTGGACTCAAGCAATCCTTCTGCCTCAGACTCTCAAAATGTTGGGATTATAGGCGTGAGCCACCTCGCTCAGTCCACCCAATCATTTTTAATGGCAGAAATATTCTGATGTGGATCTTTCATAATTTGTATAACAAGTCTATTGTTGAACATTTAGTTTGTTTCCAGGGTAAGTTTTGTTTCTTTCTTTGTTTGTTTTGAGACAGGGTCTTACTCTGTCGCCTAGGCTGGAGTGTAGTAGTGCGATCTCAGCTCCCTGCAATCTCTGCTTCCTGGGTTCAAGCGATTCTCCTGCCTCAGCCTCCCAAAGTGCTAGGATTACAGGCACCTGCCATTGCATCCCACTAATTTTGTATTTTTAGTAGAGATGGGGTTTCACCATGTTGGCTAGGCTGGTCTTGAACTCCTGATCTCAGGCAATCTGCGTGCCTCGGCCTCCCAAAGTGCTAGGATTATAGGCTTGAGCCACTGTACCTGGCCAGAGTATTTTTTGTTTGTTTTTTGTTTTGCTATAATAACCACCTTTGTAGAAATTATTCTTACAGTACATCTTTTTATAATTTTCTGATTATCTAGATACACAGTTTTTAGGTCTTTTGATACTTATTGCCAAAGTGCCTCCCAATGTTTGAACCAACTTGCATCATTCCTAGTGAGCGCAGATGTCTATTCATAAGTTTATTTGCCTTTTGTATTTACTTTGGGAATAACCTGTTTGTTTCCATCCATTGACTATTTTAGGGGTGTATGTTTTTATATTTTCTTAGAAAACAATGAAGACTTTTCATATATCCATTGCAACACCATTTATTATGGTCCTTTCCTCTCTAGCTAAAATTGCTACCTTTATATGCTGTTCCTCTATGCCCTTCAGTCTGTTCCTGATCCAGATCTATTCTGGTACCAGTTTTGTCTTAATTATTTAGAAGATTCCTGATTTGGAATCTGTGTTTCTGTCATTACCCTTAGACCTGTCTTAATCACAGCTCCTACCTTATGGGCTTTCCTTGAGCAATACCTGAGTTAGAAAATAATGTAGAGAGTGCTTTGCACAGGGCCTGGCACCCAGGACGTGCTCAGTACATGTTAGATCTTGTGAACATTTCGATTAGTATCTGTCTTATCCTGCAGCCTCTTGACCCAGACACAAGTCCCGGATATGTGGCGGCTTTCAGCTCCCCTGCACCTCCTACCAAGTCTTTTCCTAGCAGAGTCATTGTATTTCCATTACGGTTCCTCAAGCGATAGGGGGTCAAGCCCTGTACCCTTGGATCTGGGCCAAAGGATGGAATCATTCCCTATGTATGGACACTGGACTGTTTCTCTGCCAGGGTCACACACATTTATTTGTGTGCTCCCTCTACTGAATCTAGAGTGTGGGCTCTCCTGGTAGGCCATCCGCCATGCTCCCTCTGCTGCCATCACCATGCAACCACTAATGGCGTTTCCAGGGACAGGGCTATGCAACTGACTTGGAAACAAGCAGCTGGCAAACCCCCTCTTCTGCCCTCAGCCTGCTTTTCCTGGCTTCTTCACAAATCATTAAGATGGGTTTTACTCGCTACTTTTCTTTTCCATTGCCTCATTACCTGTCATAAATTTGGGCCTACATAACCTCCTCTGTCTTTACTGTCACTTGTGCTTAGTAAAAATTGGCCTCAGATCCCCTCTGCTCCTTCTCTTTCCCCAATTTATTTATTTATTTATTTTATTTTATTTGAGATGGAGTTTCACTCTGTTGCCTAGACTGGCGTGTAGTGGCACAATCTTGGCTCATTGCAACCTCCACCTCCTGGGTTCAAGTGATTCTCCTGCGTCAGCCTCCAGAGTAACTGGGATTATAGGTGTGCGCTACCACGCCTGGCTAATTTTTGTATTTTTAGTAGAGATGGGGTTTCATCACATTGGCCAGGCTGGTCTCGAACTTCTGACCTCAGGTGATCCGCCTGCCTTGGCGTCCCAAAGTGCTGGGATTACAGGAGTGAGCCACCACGCCCAGCCCCCAATATTTCTCTTCTATATATATATATATATATATATTTGGTTCAGTTCTTTTTTCAGATATGTGCATATCAACTATTAGATGAAAGCTCTTCTGACCACTTGCTGGGGAGAAGAGACGATGAGGCACAAAGGGTCTCAGGAAAGGTTGCAACTTGCCCCAGGTCACAAAGCTAGTTGTTAGCATGGACAAAGCTGGTGTGTTTATCTTGGGGTTTGGTTCCTGAGCTTTTACTGGCAGGGAGGTAGATGTAGTGCTTGGTGTATTTGCAGGGGAGGGGAGAGGAGTGCTGCAGATTCAGTTCCAGAACTCTCCCCTTGCCCAGCAGACCCGCTTATGAGAGCTGCCCAGAACTAAGCTCTAGATGAGCCTGGAGCACTCTTGGGGTCCGTGGGGCTTCGACCCCTTGTTACACTGAGGCCCAGAGGAGAGTGACTGCCCAAACCCAAGAAAGCAGCTGCCATCCTCTCTTCCTCTGATCTTGCTGTAGTGAAATTTCTTTAATCAAAAGTCAAATCTGCGACCTGGGTGGATTTGACCCCAGCCGCAATTTTTAAAAGTTAGATATCCCAGATTCCATGGCCATGGGTAAGACTGGAGCCTGCTCAGGAGCTCCCTTTTCTCTTTTGACTTGCTCCATGGGATCCGGCATAGCCACTGCCCAGCCCTCCCTCAAGTTCCAGCCTGTGGGACCCTGGTTTTCCCATCCTTGAGAATTGTAAATTGTCACTGTATTTGTCTTATTCCAGCCTTTCAGGCCTGATAACTTGGCTCCCCCAGCACCCAAAGTCATATACATGCCTGGGCTCGTTACTCCGCCTCGCTTCCTTTTCTGAGTCATAGTAGCAAATAGATTGAGAATCAGAAATGAGCCATCATTTGTAATTTCCGAATGGTAGGCGTGGCTGCTGCCTTAGAACCCTCTGTTGACTTCAGTTCAGTACACTTCTTGTGTCGTGCTGGTCCTGTGCTGGGGGTAGAAGTAGAGATGAGGGAGGCACTACCCCTTCTGGTAGATGCAGCCCTACAGGTTCCAGCCTGGTGGGAGGATCGCTGGCAGGACTTGTCCTCCTCTGCTGCGTGCTCTCGCTCAGGGCATAACTGGTTCAAACATTCTCATTACGGTATTGGTGACACAAGGAGAGAGTATTGGCTAAGGAAAAAGGCAGGGCAGAAATCACGGAAGAGGAAGCTTTTGATTTCAGGCACTGTGCGAAGTGCTTGTATTTCCCTCTCAATGGGACCTGTGAGAGAGGTGGGCACTCTAAAATATCCCATTTTTGAAGATGAGGTGAGGCTGAGGTTCACGCCTATAATCCCAGCACCTTGGGAGGCCGAGGCAGGTGGATCATTTGAAGTCAGGAGTTTGCGACCAGCCTGACCAACATGTTGAAACCCCATCTCTACTAAAAATACAAAAACATTAACTAGGCGTGGTAGCTCATGCCTGTAATCTCAGCTACTCAGGAGGCTAAGACAGGAGAATCACTTGAACCCAGGAAGCAGAGTTTAGAGTGAGCCAAAATCGCGCCACTATACTCCAGCCTGGGTGACAGAGTGAAACTCTGTCTCAAAAAAAAAAAAAAAGGTAAGGGGATGGCCACTGAGAGAGATTAAGCAACTCACCCAAGGGGACAATAAAACTAGGAAGTGGCAGAACTAGCATTCCAACCTAGGCCCTCTGACTTTTCCTAGGCAGCGGGGTAGAAGCAGGTTTGATGAGAGAGAGGAGGGCTGAGAGGGTGCTGTGTGGCCAGTGGTGGAGATAATGGGTATGTCTTAGCAGCAGATGAGGCCAGTGAGAGGAGCAATTTGAATTTGTCCACTCAGAACACAGGATGTGCTGACTTCTTTGTTCTTTCTGGGCCTGGAGGAAGGCAGGAAGGCAGCTAGTATCTCGACATCTGGGGCATCTGGAAGACTTGAGTCTGTGGCCTGGGAACCAGCCTGAGCCCAGCAGCCTCTGAGGATATAAGTGCCCATCCAGGATTTATCTCTTAGAAACAGAGCCCCAAATAAAGTGAGCCTAGAGGCTGGGATTCCTAGAATATTAGAATGTCAGAGCTGAAAGGGATCCTAAAAATGTGATTTCTTGCCATAACGCCGATAAGGAATCAGATATTTGAGAAAGCTAATTTCCTAGTACTCTTTCCTTAGAATTTTACCTTGATACCTTTGGTGGGTGATGGACATGGTTCTAAAGGACAACTCATTTGACACTAGAGGCAACTAATACATGGTGACTGTTCAGCACGTGCCCGGCACAACTGGGACATTCGCCATGAAATTCTGGCCACTTCCTCCTGGTCAGCTTCAACCTCCAAAACGGGAGCAAAGTCACGACAGCATGGAGGTGTGAAGTGTGCTCTAGACCTTCTCACCCAGCTCGACTCCAGGCACAAGAGTCTTTTGTAGCTTTCCCAGCTGAGTCAGGGAGCCCCCTACTCCTTGCGGTAGCTCCATCTGTTGTAACCTAGCTATGATTTTATACCAGTCCCAAGGTGATCTTTCTATACATTCCTGTTGTTCTTCATTCTGTCTTCTGTGGCTGTAGAGAGAAAATGTGACCCAGGAGCAGCCAGTTGGGTTCATTTTGGTAACCAGCTCATCAGTTGGTAGTAACTACCTGAAGTCCTATGCAGAAAAGGATTCTGGGGCGGAGACTGGGCTCAGAAGGAAAGCCCAGGAAACAATGCCACAGTTAACCAATTAGCAGTTAGATGACAAGTACATTTCAATGCAAGTGTTAGAGTCAATCAATGGGTAGTGACCACCTAAATAATTCTAAGACTATGGACTGGTCATGATGGCTTACACCTATAATCCCAGCACTTTGGGAGGCCTGTAATCCCAGCACTTTGGGAGGCGAGGTGGAAGGATTGCTTGAGGCCAGGAGTTCCAGACCAGCCTGGGCAACAAAGTGAGACCCCATCTCTACAAAAAATACAGAGTGAGCTGGGTATGGTGGCATGTGCCTGCCTGTGTTTCCCAACTACATGGGAGGCTGAGGCAGGAGGATCAGCTGAGCCTAGGAGGTTGAGGCTGCAGTGAGTGCAGTGAGCCATGATACAAAAAAAAAAAGAATTCTAAGTCTATGTATAGTTCAGTGTAGGGGGAAAATTCACATTTGATTATTAATGTCTGCCATGGGCACAATAATACACTATACTCACACATGGGCCACAGTGTTGCCATTCCTGGAACAGACTGTCTCTAAGATCTCATCCAGTTAAAAATTCTTTGATTAAACTATATCGCTGCTTTTTTGAAGAGACAGAAGAGCTGGTATGTTTGCCCTGGAATTTATACTTATAACCTTTTTCAAACCTTTTTTTTTTTTTTTTTTTTTACCAGGTGGAGTTAGTTCTGGAGAAGGAAGTGGCTGGCCTCTGGATCAAGATCCCATGCACAGACTACATTGGCAGCTGTACCTTTGAAGACTTCTGTGATGTACTTGACATGTTAATTCCTACTGGGGAGCCCTGCCCAGAGCCCCTGCGTACCTATGGGCTTCCTTGCCACTGTCCCTTCAAAGAAGTAAGTACTTAGGGAGGAGAGAGCGTTACCCCTGTGGCTAAAGAGATGGGGTTTGGAGAGAAGGGTCTTTGCATTCTCCTCCTGCAGATCTGCATGTCTCTGGATTTGTAAGCCAGTATGACCTATCAGGAATCACTTATCTTTCGGGAGCCTCAGTTATCCATCTATGAAATGGGAGACTTGAACTTAGACGTGATCTTCAGGGCCCTTTTCCCATAATAATCCATGCTGTACAGTGCTATGGCAGTCTCTAATCTTGTGTGGTGGTTTCGAGAATGGGAAGAGGGGTGGTAGTTCATGGCTACAATCCTAGCAGTGGCTCTAGGAGAAAGACCCCATCAGTAGGCTCCCACTGAATGGCTGTCCACTGGCTTTCCCACAGGGAACCTACTCACTGCCCAAGAGCGAATTCGTTGTGCCTCACCTGGAGCTGCCCAGTTGGCTCACCACTGGGAACTACCGCATAGAGAGCATCCTGAGCAACCGTGGGAAGCGTCTGGGCTGCATCAAGATCGCTGCCTCTCTAAAGGGCGTATAACGTGGCATCTGCCACAGCAGAATGGAGCAGTGTGAGGAAGGTCACTTTTCCTCTGTTTTGTGTTTGCCAAGGCCAAACTCCCCCTCTCTGCCCCCCTTTAATCCTCTTTCTACAATGAGTCCGCTACGCTCACTGAAAATCATTTTGTGCCACTTACATTTTAGGCTGGGACAAGCAGCCCTGACCTAAGGGAGGATGAGTTGGGCAGTTCTTGATAGCCCGGGGCATCTGCTGGGCTGACCACGTTACTCATCCCGGTTAACATTCGCTCTTTCTCTCTAAAGAGCCTCGTTCATTTCCAAAGCAGTTAAGGAATGGGAACCAGAGTGTTTTAGGACCTGAAGAATCTTTATGACTTTCTCTCTCTCACTCTTTTTTTTTTTTGTCACTAAGTTAAAAGCAAAGTGAGAGTATTAACGTTTTTGTTCTCCTCCAACCCCCCGTTACAATGAAGGGGCGAAAGTATTTGCTCTTAGTTTATTCCTCCCTTAACTTCTGTGACTAATTTTAATTTCCTTTCTAGATTTGCCCAATTAATACTAGGGTGCAGTGTATCCTGGAGAGGTAGGGTCGGGGGGAGGAATCCCTTGGGGGAGATATTAGGGGTGCTCCGTTGTTTACAAACTCAGGTTCCCGCAGGGCTTAGCAAGAGACTTAAATGAGTGACAAGAACCATGAGAAACAAGTTGCTTCCAGGCTTGATTTCGACTTTTCCCTTTTTTTTTTGGAGACAGAATCTCACTTTGTCACCAGGCTGGAGTGCAGTGGTGTAATCTCGGCTCACTGCAACCTCCGCCTCCTGGGTTCAAGCGATTCTCCTGCCTCAGCCTCCCAAGTAGCTTGGACTACAGGCGCCCACCATCACGCCTGGCTAATTTTTGTATTTTTAGTAGAGATGGGGTGTCACCGTGTTGGTCAGGATGGTCTCGATCTCTTGACCTCGTGGTCTGCTCACTTGGCCTTGGAAAGTGCTGAATTACAGTTGTGAGCCACTACACCCAGCTGATTTTTCCTTTTTGAGTAAAGATACTATTACAATGTAAATATTTCTTATACAGAAAGTCACAGCACATGTGCCCATTGATACAAGGCCTCTGAGGCCTGGTCTCCAGTTGGAAATATAATTAAGGGTGACAAGGACTGGAGTAAGTTGGAGAGTGCATAGCGAGTCTGTGAAGACAACTGCTACCTAGCTATGACCAGTCAGTGCCACGTAAGAATGGTGTGGGCCCAGTATTGCCAGATACTGGCAATATTCCAGCCTGGTGACAGAGTGAGACTCTTGTCTCAAAAAAAAAGTTTCATTGTTTACTCCTAGAGAAGCCAAAAATCCAGATTTGTATATGAAATCTTACCATTTTAAAAGATTGGCAGCTAATGATTTTTTTAAAAAGCTGTGCGGTGTGATGTATCCCAAACGGACTGGCTCATGGGTGGCCACTTCACAACCTCTGATCTCTTTTTTTTTTTTTTTTTTTTTTTTTTTTTTTTTTTTTTTTTTTTTTTTTTTTTTTTTTTTTTCACCTTGATCTCAGACCGTGCATGCTTTGTCTTCTTAAGACAACTCCTGTGGCACCATTTCTCCCTCCACAGGGCCAAAGCCATAGAGTCCGGTCCCAAGGAGAAGGCACTTCCAGTGCTAGGAGAGGTATGGACAGCCTCTCACCTGTGAGCTGTGGCTGCCTCAGTCTCAGAGTCCTGTCGGGTGAATGAGGCAGATGGGCAAGAGTTAGCTTCACCAGCAGCTGCTTTTGGAGCAGGGGTCCAAGGAAGAGAGGGTGGCCTCGACATCAAACTGCCTGGATTTTTCTACCACCCTGTTACACCATAACAACTTCTGAACCACACACCAGCCCTGAGTTCTGGGCTCATCTGAAGCCTGGAATAGCAATAAATCTTTTTAACTTGCTGACAGTTTCTCCCTTGCTTTGGTTCCAGATTTCACTGATCACATTTCAAAAGTGTTTTTGGGGTGGGGCTCTTTTGGTTGGAAGGGTTTGTTGGAACGGTACAGGTGAGCCGAGGCGATTCCAGGGACGGACCCTTCTACTTATGTCGCAGGAGCTTGCTTGTTGTCTCTGCTTCATCGCCATCCAGTTCCCTCGTTTGCTATTTTGCTTTCCATCACATCATGACTGCGGAGAGTGAAAATCACCTGGTGACCATTGAACAGGCCCCAGAGACAAAATCTTTTTATCTGAGGAATTTAAAAGGGAGCAAAGACCACCTGGTGACTATCAAACAGGCCATGCAGAGGCAAAACTCCTTATCTGGGGAAAATAAGAAGTAATTAGACTTTCCTATTATCTAAAGCAGGCATCTGGTTCCAGATTTCTTTTCCCCGAAAAAAACCTTACAAGTAACTAAAATTTCTGGCCGGGTGCCGTGGCTCATGCCTGTAATCCCAACACTTTGGGAGGCCGAGGCGAGTGGATCATGAGTCAGGAGATCGAGACCATCCTGGCTAACACAGTGAAACCCCGTCTCTACTAAAAATACAAAAAAGAAAAAAATTAGCTGGGCATGGTGGCAGGTGCCTGTAGTCCCAGCTACTCTGGAGGCTGAGGCAGGAGAATGGCGTGAACCCGGGAGGTGGAGCTTGCAGTGAGCCGAGATCGCGCCACTGCATTCCAGCCTGGGTGACGGAGACTCTGTCTCAAAAAAAAAAAAAAAAAGTAACTAAAATTTCTGTACATCTCCGGAATGCGATGCTGAAACTGACTGTGCAACCCCAAGGTCCTGCTTTAAGGTCCATAAATATCCCTAAGGAAAAATCCACCGTGGTATGCTCAGTCCTCTCACCAGGGCACCCCACCGCAGTCTTCTGCAGCATTCTTCCTTTCTAATACCTTTCCTTTTTCAAACCTATACTGTTGTTGGTGAATTATTTTTACCCACCCACGAGTTGACCACTTCTCAATGCTGGGGCTCTGACACTTCGCCTGGCAATGACCTTCACAGCTGTTTCTCTCTGTTGGATCTTCCAGCCTTATTCTCAACAGTTGCTTTTTAGTTCACATTCTTCACCGAATCTCAGTATCTCAGTTAATCTTTTTATGTCTGCTCTGCTCTTGAGTCATATGTTCCTTGAGGTTTCTTAGGGGTGGGGGATGAGGAGTTAAAGGTGGCATCTTCAAGCGCAGGTCAAAGCAGACTTTTTAATAAATGGTGCTGAGCCAACTGGAAAGCCACTTGGAGAAAGCTGAGGTTAGACCTATACTTCACACCATATGCAAGAATGAACTCCAAGTGGGTCCAGGATCCAAATGAAAGAAAATGAAGCCATATAAATACAGAAGGAAACGTGGTGGAAATATCCAGTGGCAACAAAATATTGACACATTTGACTACATAAAGAGAAAAAAAAATGCTTGGTAAAAACACAATAAAATCAAATGGCTAAATTTATCCAGCCTATATCATAGATGAATAGTTAGTATTCTTACTATATAAGGAATTAAAAATTAAGGGACAAAGGACCAAAAACTTGATAGAAAAACTGGGAAAAGACATGAACACACATACTCATGTAAAGATATAAAATGGCTCTTTAAAATGAAATATTCGAACTAACTCATTAGAGAAATGTAAATTGAGATAATACTGAGATACCATTTATCATCTCTCAGACTGATGAAAGAAAGAACAACACATTCTGTTAGGCAAGGCTATAGGGAAACACACTGTCATCACTGTTGGTGGGAATGCAAACTAGTATGACTTTTCTGGAGGGGAATTTGTCAGTGCTTAATAAATTGCAGAAGCATTTACCCTTTGACACAACAATTTCCACTGTGGGAATTTCCCTTGAAGATGCACCTCCAACAGTACAAACATACGGATGCACAAGATTACTCATTGCAGCACTGTGACTGCAAATATTGGAAGCAAAGTCATGTTCATATACACGAGAAAGGCTGAGTAAACCATGGCACCATGGCATACTCACATGGAATATTACTGAGCTGTAAAAAAAAAATGAAGATCTTTATGAATCGGTATAGAGTTATTTTCAAGATACATTAAATGCAAAAAGCAAAGTACAAAAAATAGAATGTGGTACTTTTTATGTAAGAAAGAAGGAGATGTAAGAACATGTATCTGCTTGTTTATGCAAAGTAAATAAGGAAAGATTGGCCAGAAAGTAATGAGCTCTATGGATGGTAGGTGGGTGTAGAGTAGAAAGAAAGGAGAAATCATAATGGTATAAAGGAGGTAGGGATGGAACACTGCCGAGTGTATCTGAGTATATTTTGTTTAACTGTGACTCTTAGAGCCATAGTAATGTTTCTCATGCCCCCAAAAGTAATTAAAGTCAACCAGGATATGAGGAGAGTTCAAAATGAAATACAAACAGTAACAGATGAACTTAACTGTATTTCAAATGCAGAATACAACCACATTGAAGGAGGTGGGCAAGGAAAATAAGAAGTTATAGCATTTTGATGGGATACTTGAAAGAGAAAAGAAACAGTACACAAATACCAGCGTCTAGTTAGCAAATTTTTCACAGAAGCAAAAATTAGCAACTCAGGAAGTCCTTTACGTGTATATTAGAATTGGGAAAATAAATATATGGTAGGTAACGACAACATGGGGGACATATTGAAAGGACACAGGAACCAAATTGAACCTCCCTCAGTGGCCAAATCTTGGGCAATTTGAGCAATAAAATAATGACAATAATGGGTTATAGTCCACTGACTAAAAATACACTATAGAATCCCATACACAATGGAATCACAAATGTAGAAGGAACGATAGAAATAGAAGAAATGGCTGGGTGCGGTGGCTCACACCTGTAATCCCAGCACTTTGGGAGGCCAAGCCAGGTGGATCGTCTGGGGTCAAGAGTTCAAGACCAGCCTGGCCAACATGACGAAACCCCTGTCTCTACTAAAAATACACAAAATTAGCCAGGTGTGGTGGTGCGCGTCTGTAATCCCAGCTACTCCGGAGGAAGGAGAATCACTTGAACTCGGGAGGTGGAGGTTGCAGTGAGCCGAGACCGTGCCGCTGACCTCTAGCCTGGGTGACAGAGTGAGACTCCATCTCAAAAACAAACAAAAAAACACCATTAGGCAAACACCCTAGGAATAGTTGTTGCAGACAAACACCTATGAATGCCAAATTAGTGAATAGAAGTATGATGGAAAACAGGATTTTGCATGATTTTAAGATCTCTTCACAAGATACTAATTACAAAGGGAAAAACAGTCACTATAGTGAAGAAACCTGACAGAAAACCACCTTAACCAAGTGATCAAGTTAACATCACCACTAATGGTGATACCACGTACCTTCCATGTACCTTCCAGGCATACTGATACCACGTACCTTCCAGTATGATGCACTGAGAAGGGCACAATGTCACTTCTGTGGAATTGTCAGAAATGTGCAGTCTCAGTGCAATCATGAGAAAAGATCAGACAAGCCCAAACTGAGAGACACTCTATCAAATAATTGGCCAGTACGTTTTGAAAGTGCCAAGGCCGTGAACAATAAGGAAAGACTGAGGAACAGTCATGAACTGGAAGAGAATAAAGAAATATAACTAAACGCATTGTGAGATTCCCGATTTGGATGCTGGATTAGAAAAAGGACCAGAAATAGGATTTCATCAATGTCAGTTATTTGGTTTTGATCATTGTACTGTGGTTATGTAAGATGTTAACATTAGGAAGAGCTGGGTGAAGGATACATGGAAACTATTATTTTTGCCACTCTTTGAAAGTCTAACGTTTTTCAAAATAAAAGTTTTAAAGATATATTGCTGAAGTTTTCATTTTGAGAAAAAGAAGATATGAACCTTGTATTAGTCAGGGTTCTGTAGAGGGACAGAACTAGTGGAACTAACAAAAATATAAAGGGGAGTTTATTAACTCACTTGATCACAAGGTCCCACAATAGCCCATCCGCAGGCTGAAGAGCAAGGAGAACCTGCCCGAGTTCTAAAACTGAAGAGCTTGGAGTTTGACGTTTGAGGGCAGGAAGCATTCAGCACGGGAGAAAGACGTAGACCGGGAGGCTAGGCCAGTCTCTCTTTTCACATTTTTCTGCCTGCTTTATATTCTGGCCACACTGGCAGCTGATTAGATTGTGCCCGCCCAGATTGAGAGTGGGTCTGCCTTTCCCCAGCCCACTGACTCAAACGTTAATCTCCTTCGGCAACCCCCTCACAGACACACCCAGGATCAATACTTTGTATCCAATCAAGTTGACACTCAGTATTAACCATCACAAACCTGCTGTCATGTAACTGCAGTACAGGAGAAGGGGGTGAACATTTATGCAGAATCTGGGTTAGTGGCTGAGGTCAGAAAGGGTTTTCCTGAGGAAGTGCTAGCTGAGATCTGGAAAATGAGGAGGATAATTGCTCCATATTCTATAGTAAGGTTTCCATATGTTCCTCAAAGCCTTTCCTTCTCCAAGTTCATGGTCTGGATCCCAAAAGAGCACAGACTTTATCTTGGCTGATAGCTTTCTATCTAGTGGTAGGATATTCTTCGCTGCCTCTCCTTCATGATAACACAGCTACCTCACATCTCCTCTAGAGGCTGTTGTTTGGCCTCTGACCATTGGTGAATGGACGATATGTTACAAAGGGGGAATGCTGCTAATTCCAGCTGAAATACCTGTTAGGCAGGTCATAATATCAATCATCTAATAGAAGGTGAAGTTGAAAATTGATACTCTACAAATATTCATTATACTGTAGAGTTATACTTTCATTGGTGTTACAGTTTACAATGAAAAGCTTTTAGAAGGTGGCATTTCTACTAGAGTGAAACAAATCGTCATTAATACTTTCCCCCTTCAAATAAATTTTCTTTAGTTCTGAAATCAATACATTATTTGTTTAAAAAATGCAACAACACAGGCAAGCAAAAGAAAAATATAAAAATTTGACTGGGCACGGTGGCTCACGCCTGTAATCCCAGCACTTTGGGAGGTTGAGGCAGGTGGATCACTTGAGCCCAGGGGCTTGAGATTAGCCTGGGCAGCATAGTGAGACCCTGTCTCTATTTTTTAAAAATATATAAATACATAAAAGAAAAAGTGTAAAATTTTACTCATAATTCAACCCACTTGGTGAAAATTCCTATGACAATGTCCTGAGTATTCAAAATTATTTGGCTGTATGCATGTAACTGATTTAAAAAAATGGAATCATGTTTCATATTCTATTTTTAACAGCTTTATTGAGGTATAATTGACATATAATAAATGCCACATATTTGAAGTATCCAACTGATAAGTTTTGACACGTGTACCCTCCTGTGAAACCATCTTCAAAATCGAGACAGTGAACATGTTATCCATCCCTCCCTCTCACCCATCTCATCTTCCACTGACCACTGAGCTGCTCTCTGTTACTACAGATTAGTTTTCATTTTCCAGGCTTTTATATGAATAGAATCATCCAGTTCGTATTCTTTTTTTGGTATGGATTTTGTCATTCAGCATACTTATTTTAAGATTCATACATTTTATTGTGTATTTCAACAGTTTGTTTCTGTTCCTTGCTGAGGGATATTCCATCATATGGATACATCACAATTTGTTTATCCATTCTCCTGTTTATAGACATTTAGAGTATTTCCAACTTCTTTGCTTTTATAAGTAAAGTTACCATGAATATTTTTGTACCAGTCTTTTTATGGATATATATTTCTTTTTTCTGGAGTGGAATAGTTGGATCATGTGGTAGGTATATGTTTACGTTTTAAAAAGACTACAAGATGTTTATCAAACTCATTGTAGTACTTTCTATCCACATAGCAGGGTGTGGAATTTCAGTTACTCCACCTGCTCACCAACACTAGCACGGCCAGTTTTTTGTGGTTGGTGGATAAGTTAATTTCTTTTATTCATTTTCAGAATATCAGACTTGATAGAGTCCTTAATAATCCATTAGTCCAGCCCTTCACTTCATAGACTGAGAGATGGGGAGGAACTTGCCTGAGGGCCAGTAGGAAATCAGTGGTGGAGACAGTGGTTGGACAAAATTACTGCTGAGTTCTGTTTGTGTTCTCTCTGTGACTCTTCTACTTAGAATATGTAAATAGAAAATTCCCCTTGCCCAACATGCACTTTTCTTTTCTTTTTTTTTTTTTTTTGAGACAGAGTCTCGCTCTGTCACCAGACTGTAGTGCAGTGGTGCGATCTCGGCTCATGGAAACCTCCGACTTCCTGGTTCAAATGATTTCTCCTGCCTCAGCCTCCTGAGTAGCTGGGATTACAGGCACCTGCCACCACGCCCAACCAATTTTTGTATTTTTAATAGAGACGGGGTTTCACCATGTTGGCCAGGATGGTCTCGATCTCCTGACATTGTGATCCGCCCACGTCAGCCTCCCAAAGTGTTGGGATTACAGGCGTGAGCCATGGTGCCCAGCCACACTTTTCTAAATCTGATGCTTTAAGGGCAGCTACTGCAGTGTGGAGAAAACATTACTTTTGTATTTATGCTTGGTCTCTGTTTCAAGGGCTCTTGGGGTAAGTGGCATCCCTTTTCCATAAAATGAGGCTGATAATACGAATAGTTGAATCTAATTTTGGTTCAGAGGTACAAAAGGCCATCCAAAAAATATAAAACCAAAAAAGGTGTAACCTGAGAGACATCAATGCTAACTTTTCTCATCTGCATTTCTCTTGGAAAGATAAAGAAGACACTAATTAATATAGAGATGTTGGGATTTGATGAAGGTATATAACATCCACATGGAAGTCAAACTGGGGATGGGAAGAAGGGAGAGCTATTAGACTAAAAACAGATAATTATGCATAGACACCTGTGGAGTTGGCCATGGAATGGTTGATGGGTTGGGTCAACTCATAGAGGGCTTGGTATGTCCCAAATATACACCCTAAAAGGCCCAGGATGCTAATCATGATGTCCTTGGCAAGGGTGACACAGCTCATGTCCTCAGAGTAAAAGATGACGATCTCCAGGAGGGCTGGGATGATGAGGGCCAGGGCGCTGCTGCTCACGGAGCCCACCAAGGAGATGACCAGGTCGAGGCGGGGGATGAGGATGGCTGAGACACCTGCAACGAAAGGAGAAATTTAGAATCACTGAATGTGCCTGCAAAAAGGCAGCTCAGAAACAAGCCATTGCTTTGGAGTCCTAGAATTTCACAGATACCTAAGCGACCGCTTTGGAGAGGTGAGAGGGAGCCTACTGCAGGTTTTGGAAGGTCAGGCAACTCCCACCCCTGTCTTAACTACAAATACAGATGCTCTCCTTTTATATTTTATCTATTGGATTTTTTTTTTTTAACCTATAATCTTTACTGGAAGGGCTCCTCTACCACTCATCTGTTATAACCTCTTCACTGTAGAGATGGGGAAATCTGGAGCTCTAAAAGGAACAGGACTTATTCAAGGTCACACAGAGCTGAGATTAGAATCCACTGGGATGCCCAATCTAAGGTCCTTTTCACTCTACTATGCTGTCTCTCATGTGTAAGAAATAACTTGGTACACAGTAGGTGCTCAATAAGTGCTTGACTCTTGCCCAGGCTCGGAACCAATGTTTGTAGTATCTATGTAATACAGCTTTTGTCTAGAAGCAAGGATGGATTAAAAAAATGAGAGATGCTTCTGCTGCTGTCCGAATATCAACCACTTCTTTTTCTTTTTCTCTCTCTCTCTTTTTTTTTTTTTTTTTGTTGAGATGGAGTCTCATTCCGACGCCCAGGCTGGAGTGCAGTGGCGCGATCTCGGCTCGCTGCAAGCTCCACCTCCCGGGCTCAAGTCGTTCTCCTGCCTCAGCCTCCGGAGTAGCTGGGACTACCGGCGCCCTCCATGGCGCCCAATTAATTATTTTGTATTTTTAGTAGAGACAGGGTTTCACTGTGTTGGCCAGGATGGTCTCCATCACCTGACCTCGTGATCCACCCACCTCGGCCTCCCAAAGTGCTGGGATTACAGGCGTGAGCCACCGCGCCCAACCTCAACCACTTATTTTTCTGTTCTTAATAGGATCATAGTAATGAAGCACGCCATAAAACACGAAGAGAGCATTAGCTATCCAACCCCTATCCCTCTCTTCTCTTCACACTCCTAAATTTCCATCTCTTATACACATGGTGAACATATAGTATCACAGATTTTCCAAGGGAGTCCAATTTCAATAATGTTTGAATGAGTAAATATATAATTTATATGATTTAATTTTATGCAAATTTATTATTTTAAAACAATTATTACATTGATGTATAATATATGTACATAGTTTTGGGGTATGTGTGATAATTCAATATATTTATATAATTAGTAAAGATCAAATCAGTGTAGTTGGGATATCCATTACGTTAAATATTCCAATCATATGATTTTCCTGTGAACAAAATAGAGAAAGCCTGTTCTGGAAAGCATCCATACGAGCTCGCTGGATCTTTAAAAAAATCACCTCTTTCTGAAATTGCTCTGACACATCCAATCTGAGCATGAGAGGGACTCACAGACTCTCACGGCTAGGAGTGCATTACCCTTCTGATGGAAAGTCCCTGTCCCCAGCTTTCCTTCATCCGATGCTTAATAAGCTGCTTACAGAGAAAACTCAGCATCAGTCTTCCAGGAAAGTTCACTACCAGGGGGTAGAGAAGATATATGCAAGAAAAGCTATAATGCAAGGTGGACTGGAGGAAGGTCTTACACTCCATTCTGGTCATGTCAATCCTCTGCTCAGTGCCTTTCCATGGCTCCCCATGGCCCAAACTCCTCAACACAATGACCCTTAGGACTTGGCCCTGACGAAGCTCTGACCTCATCTCTCAGCACTCTCCACTTCTCCAAAGGGGCCATAGGCAATACTTGCCTCAGGTCTGTGCACAGTCTGTTCCCTTCCCGTGGTACATTCTTCACTCCTCCATCTATTTCCTACTTATCATTTAGGTCTTCACTGAAGTGTCACTCCACTGGAGAGGACTCCCTGACCCAACCAGGCTTAGTTATAAGACCCTCTTACATGTAGAGAGTGTCTTCTACTTTCGATCTTAACCATCATATAGAGCATCATGATGTCCCATCTTAACAATCATTGCAATGTGCTGTAATTATTTCCTTGCATATATTTGCCACTCAACTGTAGGTCCTGTGAAGGCAGAAGCTACATCTTCTTCTTTATTCATCATTGTATCCCTTGTGTCTAGCACAATGCCAGGCATGTAGTAGGTGCTCAACAAATGATTGTTGAATGAATAAAGGATAATAGAATTGATGGATGAATAATGGAGGAAGAATGGGACATTCAGCATATATCAAAAGCAGGGCATGTCCTTATAAGGTCAGTTGTCTCTAGTCATGCATTCCCTGATACTCAGAGGCTCCTCAGACTTTCTTGTCAACGTACACCCTTCCCAGTAGGAATGATTGCAAGCAATATTATTTACAGCCTCTTGATGTCTTGGCACAGATTGTGAACTCTAAAACCTCAAACCAAGTAGGTTTTTGCTGTTTCTGCTCATAAAACGCCAGTCATTTAAAGCTTGTTATCTGATAGTATGTTCTTCTAGACAGCTCCAAGCGTTGCATAGTTTCTCCTGACCCCGTACTGAGACTTGATTCCTTCAACGACTTTAAATTCTGACTCCTGGAGCCTCGAAGACTAAATTTCTTCCTTCGCTTTTACAATAATCCCACAGGTGTTTAAGGAGAAATGTGGAAATTTTCTGAGCCTCTGCTTCTCCAGGCAAAACATCCCTTTTTGTTTTGCTCATTCCTCATGGGTCATCGTTTGTGATCCTCTGTCTAGACATGTTCCAAAGAAAGAGTTCCCCAGCCCTTTTCATGAGGTTCCCAAACACTACAACAGTGCTCATGAATGAGTGAATGAATGAATGGAAAGGAACATGAAGAAAGGAAGGGAGGGAGGAGAGAAGAGTACACCCCAAAAATGATCTCTGGCCGGGTGCGGTGGTTCACATCTGTAATCCTAGCACTTTGGGAGGCTGAGGTAGGCAGATCGCTTGAGGTTAGGATTTCGAGACCAACCTGGCAAACATGATGAAACCCCATCTCTACTAAAAATACAAAAATTAGCCATGCATGTTGGCAGGTGCCTGTAATCTCAGCTACTCAAGAGGCTGAGGCAGGAGAATTGCTTGAACCCGGGAGGCAGAGGTTGCAGTGAGCCGAGATAGCACCACTGCACTCCAGCCTGGGCAACAGAGCGAGACTCTGTCTCAGATAAATAAACAAATAATCTCCAAGACTCTGAAAAATTAGTCCCATTGGGATTTTTCCCTTCAGTTAAACCTACTTTATGATATGGGACTTGTTCATAATTTATGATAAGAAGAAATATGGCACCATGAAAAACAGATGCATTGGTGCTGCACAATCTGTGTTCAAATCCCAGCTTTGTCACTTAGTGTGAATGACTTGGGCATGTTACTTAATTTATCTGGGCCACAGTTCCCCCTAATGGTAATATATTGTTACATTATCATCAGTATTAGATAATGTCAGTACGGTGCCTGACATATAGGATTGAATGAATGATACTTCTTCTGCAAACCAGCCAGCATCTATTTTCTATGTGTAGGCAGTAGACATGACTGTAACATTTACTGTGTGGTAATTGTGTTAAGCCCATTTATTTTTTCAATGGAAAAATTGAGGTCCAGGGAGGTGAAATATCTTGCCCTAGGTCACAAAGAAGGCAAGTGGCAGATCCAATGATGGTGGGGTGGGAACCAGTGTGGCTCTCTGTCATAGCTTTGGGTAAAGAGTGCCCTTTTATGCTACTCACAGGTTAGACAGACCAAGCCTGAGCGGACAGACAGGTCTACAAACAGTGCCCAGCTCTCTGACACTTGGGAAACGGCAAATGGGATGATGATCTCAGCTGGGACGTGGAACTGGAGGGCATAGGTGAAGAAGATGCCGATAGAGTACATCAGCTTGACCGACTGGTACAACCTGCAGACACATGAATAGGATGTGGAATGTGACACGGCTCCCCGGAAGGGCCATTGAGGACTCACTTACTGCTCAGAAGGTGGTATGGGTTGAGTATCGCTAATCCAAAAATCCAAAATCTGAAATGCTTCAATATCCAAAACACTTCTGGTCCCAAGCATTTTGGATAAGGGTTACTCAATCTGTACTTGTCACTGAGTTATAGAACTGACTAATGTTGGATGACTCAGGCCAGATTGGACATCAGGGCCATCCGGGAAGCTTGTTAAAAATGCATATTGCTGAAGATTCTGAGTCAGTAGGCTTGCAGCTCAGGAATCTATGCCTCTTCTTTTTTAATTTTTTAAAAGACAATAGGTGGGCGTGGGGGCTCACTCCTGTAATCCCAGCACTTTGAGAGGCTGAGGCAGGTGGATCACCTGAGGTCAGGAGTTCAAGATCAGGCTGATCAATATGATGAAATCTCATCTCTACTAAAAATACAAAAATTAGCTGGGCGTGGTGGCGTGCACCTGTAGTCCCAGCTACTCAGGAGACTGAGACAGGAGAATTGCTTGAACCCAGGAGGCAGAGGTTGCAGTGAGCTGAAATCGCACCACTGCACTCACTCCAGCCTGGGCAACAGAGTTTGTTTCAAACAGACAAACAAACAAACAAGACAATATATGCATAGAGTAAAACTCATGGTACAAGAGTCATACAGTGAAAAGCATTCCTAGCTTCTAGTTTCCCTTTCCATAGGCAACCACTCAGAGTTTTCTTGTGGCCCTTCTAGAAATGATTGGTGTTTGTACATGCTCATACAGAATGTAGGAACATACATGCACATCCATGCACACAGACATGCACACACATATGCATATACACATGTAGACTCTTCGTTTATTCACCCAATATTTCTTTTCTTTTTCTTTTTTTTTTTTTTTGAGATGGAGTTTTGCTGTTATTGCCCAGGCTGGAGTGCAATGGAATGATCTCACTTGATCTTAGCCAAAAGGCCGAGGATCGATGCAATGGTGTGATCTCAGCTCACCACAATCTCTGCCTCCTGGATTCAAGCAATCCTCCTGCCTCAGCCTCCTGAGAAGCTGGGACTACAGGTGTGTACCACCACGCCCAGCTAATTTTATATTTTTAGTAGAGATGGGGTTTCTCTATGTTGGTCTGGCTAATTGTGAACTCCCAACCTCAGGTGATCCACCCTCCTCAGCCTCCCAAAGTGCCAGGATTATAGGCGTGAGCCACCACTCTTGGCCGTCTCATCTAGTATGTCTTGAAGATTGTTCCCTGCCAGTACACATAGATCTGGCTCTTCTATTTAATAGCTGGTTGGTAGGCCAATTGCATGGATATGCAATAATTTTAAAAATCAGTCACCAATTAATGAATATTTAGATTGTGCTTAGACTTTTCCCAAGTAAACTATGCTGCACAGACTATCCTTGTACATATATTAATGCATATATAATATACAAGCTTAGAAGTCAAAATGCTGGGTAAAAGCCTACGTGATTTAAAATTTTGATAGCTATTGACATATTGCCCATTTGCTATCCTAGTGAATTAAAAGACCTGCTTTCCCACGTCCTTGTCTGAACTGTGTTGATGCATGCATCTTTGCCCTTGTATTTATTTTTTTAACTTGCCTTTCTCTCTTTCTTTTTCTTTCTTTCTTTCTTTCTTTCTTTCTTTCTTTCTTTCTTTCTTTCTTTCTTTCCTTCTTTCTTTTTTCTTTCTTTCCTTTCTTTCTTTCTTCTTTCCTTTTTTTTTTTAAGATGGATTCTCGCTTTTGTCACCCAGGCTGGAGTGCAATGGCACGATCTCAGCTCACTGTAACCTCCGCCTCACAGGCTCAAGCAATTCTCCTGCCTCAGCCTCCTGAGTAGCTGGGATTATAGGCTCATGCCACCATGCCCAGCTAATTTTGATATTTTTAGTAGAGATGGAGTTTCACCATGTTGGCCAGGCTGGTCTCAAACTCCTGACCTCAAGTGATCCACCCGCCTCAGCCTCCCAAAGTGCTGGGGTTACAGGTGTGAGCCACTGCACCTGGCCTTCTATTATCTTTCTGAGCATCTCTTTATCTGGCCATCTGGCCTTTTTTTTTTATTTGCCTGTGTAATACCTGTTCTGCCCTTTGCCCATTTCTCATTGGGTTGTTGGTCTTTTTCTTATTGGGAAGGTATATTTGTTTAAGGCTTTCCTGGAGAACCTGATGACTAGTGAGGTTCACACCAGCAGGTGTGAAGTCCTGATGGAGTTCAATGCCCACATTTTCTAGCTGAGGTCCCAGGAAGGAAAGTGCCCTGTCCAAGGTAGCTAGTGGCAGCCCAAATTGCCTAGAACAAGAACAGCATATTAGGATGATGGCTTGCATAAAATAAGGCACAACTTCAAAGAAATTCCACATTTAGTGTCTCATCTAGTCATCACCATAACACAGCAAGGTGGGTGGGGATGGTTACATTTTTCTCGTTCTACAGCTCCAGGTTTGTGGGAAATAAATGCACCATCATCCTACTCACCTTGGAAGAATGAAGGCTATAGGGATGCATAACAATGATAATAGCTAACACTCATGAATGCTTACCATGTGCTAAGCACTTTTCTAAGCATTATTTGTGTATTCATCCAATGAATCCCCACTGTCACTGCATCAGGTGGCACAGCAGTTATATGTGCTGTCCACCAAATACTGCCAGGCACATGGCAGAATTGCACTTCCCTGCCCCTTTGGAGTGAGGTGCGGCCATGTGGCTTGCGTTGACTGATGCAGTGTGAGCAGGAGAGACATATATCACTTCCAGCGATGCGTTACCAGCTTCATGGCTCAGGGCATGATTCGCTGTGCTCTCTGCTATGACAACCAGAACAGATCCCGTGTCTCTCCCTATCTCACCTGAGGTGGGCAGTACATACCAGCAATTGGGCAAGTTGAGGGTGATGCTAGCCTGGGTGTCTGACCCAAACTTCATGTAGCCCAGTGTCCCCAGGAAGATATAGAGGATGATGACAATGGACATACCCAAGTACAGAACAAAAGAAAACTGCTGTGGATGCTTCATCTGGTTTTTGAGAGGCAGAACCTGGAGGAAAAAAAAAAAAGTTGGGAAAGAAAAAGTAGAAAGAGATGTGGCCCATTGTGAAGGAGACGGTTTCCATACAAGCGCAGATGTCCTTCCCCAGGTGGGCCCAGAATCAGAAAGGGGCCTCTCCACATGGCCACACCCCTTTCGTTTTCTCTCACGCTTTCTATTGGCAGGAATGTCCTACTTAGTCTTGGTTGATTAGTAAATTATCAGTCTTCAAGTCTTAGCATGGTGTGTTAGAGCAGTAGGGACCCTGTATGTGGGTACAGACTTTCCTTTCATCAGGAGAAGATCAGAGTCTGCACTTTCCATAACTACTATTTATTTAGACATCTGGAACTACAGTTGGCCACTGTAAAGAGCACTAGCGACCATTCGTGTGAACCCCATCAATCTTACCATGCCGACGCCTTCAAACGTGAAGATGGCTGTACCAAAGAACAGCAAGAAGGTCTTCCAGTTTGCCATCAAGGGTAGGTTGCTGGGATATGGAATCCCCTGAAAGAAAGTGGGAGAAGCGCATTGGTGTTGTTACAGTGTCAGAGTCATCCTGAATCTTTGCCTGGTGGAAAGCTGGGTCACACCTGATCTCAACAGAGAAAATCAGAAGATACTTAGACCTCAGTCAGCCTTCTAATCTTTTAAATATGATTATTTATTTATTTATATTGTGCTAAAATACACATAACATTTACTGTTTTAACTATTTTAAGTGCACAGTTCAGTAACATGAAGAACGTTCACATTGTTGTGTATCTGTCACCCCATCCATCTCCAGAACATTTTCATCACCCCAAACTGAAACTCTTTATCTATCAAGTAATAATGCCCCACTACCCAGCCTCCTGGCAACCCCTACTCTACTCTCTGTCTCTATGAATTGGACTATTCTAGGTACCTCATGTAACTGGAATCCTATAATAGTTATCGTTTCTGTGCCTGGCTTATTTCACTTAGCTTTAGTGTCCTCAAGGTTCATCCACATTGTGGTATGTGTCAGTGTCTCCTCACTTTGTAAGGCTGAATAATATTCCGCTGTATGTATAGACACCAAATTGTGTTCATCCTTTCATCACTTACTTGGATACTTGGGTGGTCCCACCCTTTGGCTACTGGTAGCCCGCTCATCTCTACATGTGGAGAAAGCTGAACATGGAGGAGAGGGGAATTGCCCAAGGCCACTCTGCAAGTTAGTGGTACAGCCCAGATAAGAATTCAGGTCTCCTGTTTCCCAGTCCTCTAACGTGTCTCTCTCACACTTCTTTCAGGGCTGTGCAGCCTACTAGTTAGTATAGCAGCTCTCATGAATCTAGAGGGAATGATTATGTTAATAGATTTCTATGTACACATCCTAAGCCCCAAAACCTGTGAATATGTTTCGTTACACGGCAAGGGAGAATTAAGTTTTTAGATTGGATTAAGGTTTCAAATCAGCTGACCCTAAAACAAAGAGATGATCCTGGATTATTTGGGTGGGACAAGCATCCTTAAAAGTGGAAGAGGGAGTCAGAAGGGGAAGACCAGAGGGAAGGCAGCATGAGAAAGACTTGGCTTGAGGCTGCCAGCTTTGAAGATGGAAGGGGGCCCAAACTAAGGCACACAGGCAGCCTCTACGAAGCTGGAGAAGACAAGAGAACAGATTCTTCCCTGGATCCTCCAGAAAGGAATACCGCTCTGCTGCACCTTCATTTCAATCCAGCGAGACTCAAGCACTGGAAAATAAATTTGTGTTGTTTCAAGCCACTAGATTTGTGGTAATTTGTCACAACAGCAATAGGAAATGAATACAACACCAGAGACTTTCACTCAAGAAAATGAAAGTATAATAGCGGGATTTTATGGTCTGTGATAATGGAGCATGGACATGGCAGGCAGTCTGAAAGTCATGAAAAAATTACTTTATCAACTTCCTTGTCTGTAAACTGTGGATAAAGATAGTATAGTTGCTCCTTGGTCTCCATGGGGCATTAGTTCCAGGACCTCCCGTGGATACCAAAATCTGCAGATGCTCAAGTCCCTGATATAAAGTGGTGTATGGTGTAGTATTTGCATATAACCTATGTTTTTTTTTTTTTGAGACGGTCTTGCTCTGTCACCCAGGCTGGAATGCAGTGGTGTGATCATAGCTTACTGTAGCCTTGACCTCATGAGCTCAGGTGATCCATCCACCTCAGCTTCCCAAATAACTAGGACTACAGGTGCAAGCCATCATGCCCCACTAATTTTTTAATTTTTTGTAGAGAAGGGATTTTGCCATGTTGTCCAGTTGGTCTTGAACTCCTGGACTCAAGCGATCCTCCCACCTCAGCCTCCTAAAATACTGGGATTACAGGTGTGAGCCACTGTTCCTGGCCAATAGTTGTTAGACCTAATTGTTTCTTAATTTGTATGATGTTTTATTGTTGTATATTTTTAGTGTTTTTTTCTCCCAATAATTTCCATTTGTGATTGTTCAGATCCATGGATGTGGAAATCATGGATACAGAGCGCCGGCTTTACTTCCAAAATAGTATTGTGAAGGTTCAATAAGTTAATGTATGTAAATAATTTGGCACCAAGTAAATAAAATTCCTTTATCATCTGTATTTCCTTTGTCCACCTACCACTTTTACAATTTTTTTTGGTTATTTGATTGATGTTTATCTCTCCAAGTAAATGCAGCCTCCATGAGACCAGGCACCCTATTTATTTTTACTTACCACTGAGTCCCTGGCCCCTTGCACAATGCCTGGATTGCAGAAGGTATTCAGTAATTATTTGTTGAATGACTCATTGTTATCCAATGCGACAACGATGATGATGATGAGGATGTTGATGACAATGATGATGATAATAATTAGCTTTTACAACTTGTGGGACAGAAGTGTTCCTAGATGTCATGTTGGCAGGGACTGCTCAGAGCAGAGGATCACCTTCCTCAGCTTCATGATAACAAACCCTACTCCCCAAGTGCTTCATAGAGCCTGGACCCTGATCCCTTCTTCCCTGTGGCACAGACCTGCATGATATACTCAAAGATCAGAGCCATGCTCCCCACGGTGGTGATGTTGGCCAATGTCGAGAAGACGGACAGCACCTTGAGGTTCTGGATAAACACCAACAGGATCAGGAAGGGCAGGATAGTCAGCATGTAGAAACGAATGTCCAAGATGGGGGTCAGCGCCAGAATCTCCCTGGGCTGGCAGATGTTAGAGGTCACGTGGGCTTCTTCCACCATCTGACATAAAGCACACAATGACAGGCAGTGTGGTTGCTACATAAAACATAGGACACCAATTACAAGTCGATTTCAGGTAATTAACATAACTTAGTATAAATATGTCCCAAATATTGCATAAGACATGCTCATAGTAAAAAAAAATCACTACTTATCTGAAACTCCATTGTAACTGGGTGTCATATATTATTATTTGCCAAATTGGGCAACCCTAACTGTCGTGCCCATGATTGTGACCACCAGAAACTCTTAGAATCATAAAATCTCAAGGCTTTGAGGTTGTTATCTACCCAAACCTTTTCTTATCTACAAAATGTGTTTCTTTCATACATCCAGAGAAAGGGAATTCATTACACAAGAATATCATCTTCAAATTTAGATAGCCCTAAAATCTGGGAAGCTCTAAATATTGGTCAGTATCTATCTACTTGAATATTCCATCTACAATACTTGTCACAGTTATTTCTGGTTGTTTGGGTGCACAAAACCAAGGATGCTCCCTCTAATCTGCAAAGCCAAGAAAGAAGGCTGTGGTTGATTTGTAATGTCTGATAGGAATGCAATGAGGGGAAGGTGGCAGCTTGTTGGCCTTGTATATTTAGACATCTTCTACATGACAACCTTGAGATACTCAAAGTAAATGTCACCAGTGTTTTTCAGGCTAACAATTATCATTGATTTCTGATTGGACATGATTGCAGGCCTCTCTTTCTACCCTGGTTACACTCTTCAGAAGTTACTTTGGCTCCTCTATCCTTTCAAAACGTGGTTCCCAGGACTGAGAGAGCTCCCAAGTGTGGTCTGATCTAGGAGTAAAAATGAAGCTCTCTCCTCCCATGACCCTAACACAATACGTTTGCTAATGTAACCTCAGCAGCAGGAGGTCTGCTTTTCTCCCACTCTGCCCAGAAGAGGCCTCTTTACCTGTTGTAAATTGTCTGCCATAAACATAAAATAAACACTGCAGAAGCCCAGCTGGGTGATGATTAATAAGAAGCTGACTGTGTACCTGGGAAGGAAAGGAAGAGGCCGATAGAGGGAGGAAACAAACAATCATTTCTTAATAGTTTATTATTTGAAACAATTATTTTTAATATTTTTAAAATTGTCCCTACTTTTTTTTAGTTTGAAAAATTTTTAAGCCAAAAAGTTGAAAGAATAGTATAATTAACATTCATGTGCCCTTTAACTAAATTATAGCAGTTGTTAAGTTTTGGCCCCAAATTGCATTACATATATATATGTATATATGCATTCATTCATCTATACACACACACACACCCCACACGCACACACACACACACACACACACAAGCAATTTTTTTCAGAATCATTTGAAAGTCAATTGCAGGTCACTTTGGGAGGCCAAGGCAGGTGGATCATTGAGGTCAGGAGTTCGAGACCAACCTGACCAACATGGTGAAACCCCGTCTCTACCAAAAATACAAAAATTAGCTGGGTGTGGTGGCAGGCACCTGTAAATCTCAGCTACTCAGGAGGCTTGGGCGGGAGAATCGCTTGAACCCTGAAGATGGGGGTTGCAGTGACCTGAGATCTTGCCACTGCACTCCAGCCTGTGCGACACAGCTGAACTCCATCTCAAAAAAAAAAAAAAAAAAAATTAAAAAAGAAAAGAAAAAGAAAAATGTCAATTGCAGGTATCCTAACACTTAAACCCTAAATACTTCAACGTATCTCTCTTAAGACTGTAATAGCCAGAAAATCAACTTCAATATCTTCATATATACAGTTTCTATTTTAAATACAGTCATTCATTGGTATCCAGCAGCCCCAACGAATTCAAAATCTGCAGATGCTCAAGTCTCTTATATAAAAATGACTTAGTATTACCCCAATTCTCTCTAAAGTATCTTTTGTAGCTATTTTATTTTTTAATTCGGGATCTAATGAAGGTTTGTATATTACATTTGGCTATGTCTCTAGTCTTTTTTTTTTTCATGTAGAACAGTTCCATAGACATTCACCTTTTTGTGTTTTCATCACATTGGCTTTGTTCGGAGAGTATAGGCCAATTGTCTTATAGAATGCCCCACATTGTGGGCTTGTACGGTTGCTTCCTCATGATTAAATTCAGGTGAACACTTTTAGCAAGAATACTACAGAGGTGATAGTTTTGTATCTCTATTTCATCATATTGGGAGGCACATGGTATCCTGTTGTTCTGCTTTGTTGGTGACTGCCAGATCTTCCATTGGAAATGTACATTTTCCCTTTGTAATCTGTGGGGTAAAACTTTCAGATGGAGTGATTATCCTGTTCCTCAAATCAATGGTTTTACCATTCACTGATGTTCCTTGCTTGAATCAATTATGTGATTGGTAGTTGCAAGGTGGTGGTTTTCTAATTCTATTTATCATTTCTTCTAAATTTATTAGCTGTTTTTTCAGAGAGATATATTATTTTCTCCTCTTTTTTTGGCATCACAACAAATTCACATTAATTATTTCTAAATTTAATATCTTGTACTTGGTTATTGTCATTACTCTTTTGGGTTCTTAAATTATTCCAAATTTGGAGATGCATTTTTTCAAAAGAACAAAAATATTTTCCTTTACTTAGATTATAATATTTAGATAAGGGCTTTTCAAAATTGGTTTGTAGTATCAACCAATTTGTTGGTTGAGGCATATGTTAAAAATACGGACTCCTGGTTCTCATATCAGCCTATTGTGTCAGAATCTTGGCGGTGTCACATGTGACTTCAGAATAATATCTTTTTCTGTCTATCTTATGAAGATTTTCAAACATATACAAAAGCAATGAATAATTTAATGAATATGACGATAATTTAACGAGAATAATTTAATGAATTCGCATGTGCTTATCCCAGCTTCAACAATGAACTTTTTGCCACTTGTTCCCTATCTCTTCAGCCCCATCACACACATACTTAATTTGTCGGTGTATTTGGAGCAAATCAGAGATCCCAAATTATTTCACCTGTAAATAATTCAGTATGCAGCTCTAATAGACAATAACTTTAAAAAGTATAATCATTATACCATCATCATCTCTTACAAAATTAACAATAATTTCTTTTTTTTTTTTTTTTCTTGAGACAGAATCTCACTCTGTTTCCCAGGCTAGAGTGTAGTGGTGCAATCATAGCTCACTGCAGCCTCAACCTCCTGGGCTGTCTTGACTCCTAGTCTCAAGAGATCCTCCCACCTTTACCTCTCAAAGTGTTGGGATAACAGGCGTGAGCCATTGTGCCCAGCCAATAATTTCTTTATATCATCTAATAATCAGTCCATATTCAGATTTCTCCAGTTGTCTCAAAAATATCTATCTTACAGTTAGTTTCCAAACAAGTCTACACATTGTATTTTGTTAAGTCTCTTAAGTTTTTTAAATTGCTATATTCCCCTTGCCCTTTTTATTTTTTCCTCGCAACTTTTAATTTTTTGTTTGCTGCTGAAGATACCAGATCATTTGTCGTGTAGTATATCCTATTTTTTCTATTTGGTTGGTGACTTCCTCATGATGTTATTTATCTTGTTCCTCTATCCCCTGTGCTTCCTATAAATGGATATTAGATCTAATGAATTTGATTAAATGGAAGTTTCAAATTTATTTTTGAAATATCTCAGAGGTGGTACTACTCTGTACTCCCTACTGTGTGCTATTATGAGACACACCATATCTAGCTGTCATGTATATAAATGTGAGATGCTAAGATGAGTGCATGGGGTCAGGTGGCATCAGTGCATTCTCCCTTTATAAAGTTTCCCAGTGACCATTCCTGTAACAGCTTGAGCATCCATTTATGACCATTACCTCCATGGAATGGGCAGTTTTTTGTTTGTTTGTTTGTTTGTTTGTTTTGAGACATAGTCTCGCTCTGTTACGTAGGCTGGAGTGCAATGGTGTGGTCTCAGCTCACTGCAAACTCTGCCTCCTGAGTTCAAGCGATTCTGCTCCCTCAGCCTCCTGAGTAGCTAGGATTACAGGCACCCACCACCATGCCTGGCTAATTTTCCTATTTTTAGTAGAGATGGGGTTTCGCCATGTTGGTCAGGCTGGTCTCAAATTCCTGACCTCAGGTGATCCACCTGCCTCAGCCTCCCAAAGTGCTGGGATTAGAGGCGTGAGCCACCACACCCAGCCAAAGAATGGGCAGTTTTTAATCAAGCTTCTAACGTATCTCTTAGTAAATTAAAGATGACAAATTATTACTTTAAATATTTTTTAAATGTTTCCAACTCTTTCTCATGACCTCACCTAATCATGACGTCATCTAATCATTAGAGTGGCTCCTGATCAGGAGATCAATGACCTACTGAGAATCTCAAGAGAGGAGCTGCAAAGGAATCTTAGCAGCCACAGTGTGATTCACTACCTCCTGAGGGACTTTGCTGGGGAAGGTTCCAGTGTTAGGTTCTTGGTCAAATCTCTGCTCCACCCATATCAATGTCCACGTCTTTGGATATGTTATTTTACCTTTTTTTTTTTTTTTTTGAGACAGAGTCTTGCTCTGTTGCCCAGGCTGGAGTGCAGTGGCCGGATTCAGCTCACTGCAAGCTCCGCCTTCCGGGTTTATGCCATTCTCCTGCCTCAGCCTCCCGAGTAGCTGGGACTACAGGCGCCTGCCACCTTGCCCGGCTAGTTTTTTGTATTTTTTAGTAGAGACGGGGTTTCACTGTGTTAGCCAGGATGGTCTCGCTCTCCTGACCTCGTGATCCGCCCGTCTCGGCCTCCTAAAGTGCTGGGATTATAGGCTTGAGCCTCTACGCCCGGCCTGTTATTTTATCTTTATAAGTCTCATATTTCCAGGACAATAAAAACCCACGCTGCCTACCTCGCAAGGCTGTTGAGATGAACAGAGTAGCTAAGACGTAGAAAACCATTTTGTACACCGTTAACTTTTATCAAGGCAGGGAACAACCTGAATGTTCACCTTAGGGGAATAAGCAAATGAAACAGATATACGTCCACACTAGGGAACATTGTGAGCCTTAAAAAATAATGAGGTTGGCTGGGTGCAGTGGTTCACACCTGTAATCCCAGCACTTTGGGAGGCTGAGACAGGCGGATCATCTGAGGTCAGGACTTTGAGACCAGCGTGGCCAAAATGGTGAAAACTCTGTCTCTACTAAAAATACAAAAATTAGCCAGATGTGGTGGCAGGCGCCTGTAATCCCAGCTACGCAGGAGGCTGAGGAAGGAGAATTGCTTGAACCCAGGAGAGGGAGGTTGCCATGAGCTGAGATCGCACCACTGCACTCCAGCCTGGGCAACAAGAGCGAAACTCTGTCCCCAAACCCCCCACCAAAAGATAAGGTCCATTTATATGTTCCAACGTGAAAAAATAGGGACATATTGTTAGATGAAAAATCAAATTTTCAAAAATTATCCTAAGTAATGTATAAGAAAATAGAAAGTAAATTATGTACTTCCATTCACACACATATAATGATGTCCAGGTAGAGAAAAAAGTCTAAAGGAATATTTACTAACTAGATTTCAACGATTACCTTATGGGTACAGAGTGAGATGGGGGATGGGGTTATTGGGGTGATTCTCTATATTGTTTGATTGTTTACAATAACAGCATATTCATTTAAAACCTGTATAAGTAGAAATAAAGAAAAGTGGTGACGATGATGATTGTTATTACTACTAGGACATCTGTGACTCCTACTTTCCCCACACTGCATGGGTCCTCAGCCAGGTGTTTGGGCAGGTTTCAAGGCTGTACATCGTGGCCTCTCCATAGTTCACAAAAGTCTTTTGCAGTCTAGGGGGAAAGAACAAACAATGCATAGTTCAAAACATTTTTGTTAAAGGTACCGTTTTCTCCCAAAGTGAGTGATTGTTCTGTATTTGTGTGTGAGCATGAAGCGTTCTATCGATTTTTTCACAGTGATGTACTTTAACAACTTTCAGGAGTTCGCCTTTTTTTTCTTTTTTTTTTTTTTTTTGCAGTTATCCCTTTAAATACAAATGTTTAACTGATTGTCATTGGATTTAGTCTTCTTGAATAAACGGTAGCTGTGCATTGACGTGGGTCTGCAAAGCAGGAAAGGGAGGGAAGAGGTGGTGTGGGTGTGTCCAGGCCAGTGATTCCCTCCTTCCCATTGCTGAGGGTATCAGAACATTTGAGATCCTGGCCTGGGCCAGACCCCTCACAAAGGTGATACTCGGGATCCTGCCCAGCACCCCTGTAGGATGTGATGCCTAAGTTCCAGCCTATTCCTCTTCCCACATCCCTCTTCCTCAACCCTTTTAGGGGTGGAGAAAGCCCTGCTGCAGAAACAGCTTTGGCTGGAGCAATTGGAAACAGCAGCAGGTTGCCCGGATCCTGGAAGCACGACATAAACTGCAGGACTGAGGGGAACAGGTGGAGGAGAGGAAGGGCTCCAGCCTTCTTCAGAAGCCAGAGTTTAAATCCCAACACGACCCTCAGGTAGCCAGACATGTAGAGCCAGTCTCTTGAGATCTCTGGGCCTCAGTTTTCTTCACGTGCAGTCTGGATTTTGGGGGAGGAGACTGAGAGATGGATATGGAGATGTGCTGGAACATGACATTTTTACTACTGCTCATTGTGATAGGCATTTTCAATACAAATGAGGTCACCTTGCATAGAACTGGCAAGGATATAAATCTGAGGGTTGTAAATTCAAAAGCTATGGGATCAGACAGGTATTGGTGATTTGGTGGGTGACAGGGCTGAGTATGAGACAGTAGGGAGCAGTGGAGACTGTGGCAAACCAGAATACATGTCCCATTGTAAAAGGGATTGCTCAGGACTTGCCTCTAGAAGCACATCTAAAAAATGAAGGCTCAGAGGTAGTCGGTTGTCTAACTGATTAAGAAGGCAGAGTTTTTTTTGTTTTGTGAATGTGAAATCTCCAGGTTTTTTTTTTTTGAAATAGAGTTTCACTCTTGTCGTCCAGGCTGGAGTGCAATGGCGCGATCTCAGCTCACCAAAACCTCCGCCTCCCGGGTTCAAGTGATTCTACTGCTTCAGCCTTCCAAGTAGCTGGGATTACAGGCATGTGCCACCATGCCTGGCTAATTTTGTATTTTTAGTAGAGATGGGGTTTCTCCATGTTGGTCAGGCTGGTCTCAAACTCCCGCCCTCAGGTGGTCTGCCTGCCTCGGCCTCCCAAAGTGCTGGGATTACAGGTGTGAGCCACCATGCCTGGCCAAAATCTCCAGGGTTTAAAGGTTGACTAAAGAATAAAACTGTGGAGATCCCCCAAAACATAACTGAAGGCCATAGCCAACTCTTAGGGCATCACTCTGCAACCTCTATATTAGAAAAAATAAAAGACAAGTCATCAGAGAAAAAAAAAATTCAGGGAAAGGCTTTCAGAAATGGCCTGATGTCAGAAGCTTATCTGGTGATATAATGATCCCAGAAGGCTTGAGGGAAGGGAAGATTTGCAAAATGATTAACAGTGGAGTCACAGTAGGTCTTCCAATACCGGCTCTGCCACTTCCCAGCGATATGACCCTGGGCAAGGCATTTAAACCTCAGTTTACTCATCTGTAAAATGGGAATAAAAATAGTGCCTACCATAGAGGCTTACTGTGAGGAGTAAACAAGGCTTGCAAGGCTCTTGCCATGGTAACCACAGTGTAATTGCACAGTACATTTAACTGCGGAATGAGTAAATGCTCTTAAAAGCGTTTTGTGAGCAGGAAAGTGCTCTGAGAGTTAGGTGTGACTGATGGGTACTCCAGGTACACCTCTGTGGGTTATGATAATTAGGCTTTATGGAGAGTTTTATTTACTGTCCCTACTTTGACTTTTGAGGCCTTTCTTCACATTTACGAGGACCTATTTAGTTTTGCATGCCTTGGGAGTAGCTGAGCGCTGTGGATCTCTGCATTCTTTGTTTTTACTGCATTTCTCTTTTCTGTCTGAAATTGTTTTTGCATTAAAGTTTCAAATACGTAAACATTGATTATTATATGTATGCTTTGATAATGACTGAAATCATTGTGAATGCTTCTTTTTAGTAAGTATGCTTTTTACTGTTACTAACTTGTTCTGAAAGGAGATTGCATGAAACAAATTACCCTGACAAGGTGTGGGTATTGGAGTGGGAGAAGGTTGGGGGTGGCGAGTCTAAAAGGAAGAGAAGAAAGTCTATGTCTCAAATAAATAGAGCAATTTATATAGTGCTTTTGCATCTTTTATCACTTTCAATGCTTTCAGGTAAGGAGATTTGGGCTCAGAGGGATACAGGAATTTGATAGTCATCCAGCTTGTTAGCAGCAGCGTCGGACCTGTGCCTAGAGTCTCTAATTGGGACTCTTTGTCACGCTCTCCTTGCCTTCATAGAATCCAGAGTGGTAGCAAGGTGACCTGGAGCAGTGGCCGAATTAATTGGGTCAGTGTTCAAAAGAAGTGTAACACACCCGCAGAGGGGCCCCAGTGCTGGGATGGGAGAGAAGCAGGCCTCTGACCTCTGACTGAGGTGTTGAGCACAGTTCAACAGGATGACCATGCAGTGCACGGTGAGGACCCCAATGGCCAGAAGGCTGACAGGACCGACCTGGAGGGGAGAGGAGAGAGGGGGAAGTGAGCCAGAAATGATCACTCCCATTCCCTGGCCCTCTCACTGTCTGGGTGCTGGGGCCTCTTGCATAATAAAACTGTCTTTGGGGTGACAGACCCAGCCTGAATGTCCTCATGCTCCCAGATGCTAGAGTTTGAATGCTCTTCTTAGCATCCCTGTAGAGTGGCTGCCCAGCTTCTGCTAGGATCCTTCCAGTGACAGGGAGCTCATTACCTTGCCACATAGCCCATGCATTTTCTCATTTTCCTTGAGTTCTACCAGTTTAGAGTCCCTCGTGGTAAATTTATTTCATACGATACCCTGGCCCTCCCTTTCTCCAAGATAATTGAGGACCAAGGTATCTTATGACTCAGTTCTCTTCCTCTAGTGCAGAGTTTATTAACAGATGCCCTATTGACATTTTGGGGCAGACAATTATTTGTTATCTGTAGTGTGTCTAATCTGTCAAATTCCTTTTAAAAAGTGGAGCTGATTACTAATCATATCTTCCAGATGTGATCAGAAGGGCATAAAGAGGGACCCTCTCACATCCTTTGTTCTGAACACTTGTGTCTTTACAGATGTGACCTATCACAAAGACACAAATGAGGGATCAAGAGCACCACTCGACTCCACTGGAATGCAGGCTTCACGCAGCAGAGACTCTCATATCTTGTTTGCTTCTATATTCCCAGGGGCTACAAATGCACAGGGTAGGTAGGTACTCAATAAATATTTCTCAGACGAATCATGGCCAGAGGTTCTGGTGGGAGACGAAAGGTAAAGAAATCATCTAATGACTCTGAGGAAGCAAACATCAAAGAATGAAAGCATTGTCTTAAAAAGCAAATACCACCCTGGCAAAGATAGTTTGGCTGAAGACCATGTGTTTTTGCAGAAGCTCTAGAACCCAGAGGATCCCAAAGTGGACAGTCCCATCTCTGGGTTGGAACCACTGAAGATCAGAAGTCATGACAGAGGAAGCAAGGGTCTTGCCTTCTTTAGACATGGGAGCCACTTACCAGGCCTGGAGATAAGAAAAGATTCACTGCAATGAAATGGAAATTATATATTTGGTATCAATTCCATTCAATAGATGTTAATGGAAACTTGCTGTGTGCCAGTCCCTACAGAGGCTACTGTGGGGAGGTGCAAAGGGAAATTAGACAGTTTTTGCCCACAGAGCTTTCAATTAAATGAGGAAGGTGGGCCTATTAAAAATAAACATGTCGGCTGGGCGAGGTGGCTCACACCTGTCATCCCAGCACCTTGCGAGGCCGAGATGCGTGGGTCACCTGAGGTCAGGAGTTTGAGACCTGCCTGGCCAACATGATGAAAACCTGTCTCTACAAATAATACAAAAATTAGCTGGGCGTGGTGGCCCACACCTGTAATCCCAGCTACTTGGGAGGCTGAGGCAGAAAAATCGCTTGAACCTGGGAGGCGGAGGTTGCAGTGAGCCAAGATCTTGCCATTGCACTCCAGCCTGGGTGACAGAGCAAGACTCTGTCTAAATAAACAAACAAACAAACAAATAAATAAATGTCTTATCTTCATACGTGCTTTAAGAATCCCAGGTAAGGTAGATATAAATGGTAGAAAAACACAAAGTGAGGATGGCATTAATGATTGTAGGAAAGAGTAGTTTTAGAGAGCAGGCAATTTAAAAGACAGAAACGAGGGGGCAGGAACAGCACGGGAAAAGAGACAGAGGTAGGCTGGCGTGGGGAGAGTGGATTGTTGGGATTGTTGGAGGCGTCTATCCTTGTGTCCAAGATACTTTCTCATGTGCCATCATTTAGTTTGGAACAAGAGTCACACACTCAAATGCCTGCAGGGATTGGGCTGTTAATGCAAATGATGAAATGAGCTGCATGTGATCCTAGGGAGTGGGGAGGACTGTTGGGAGAATTGTGGCAAAGTAGAGTCAGATGAGCATGGTGAGTCTTTAAAAGTAATGGTGTGCCCCCTCCAGGGATGCTCAGGTTGGACTCAGGTTGGCTCCAGGGGATTGATGTCAACAGGCACATTTTCTATTGCAGAGGATACCCCCAAATTGCCCATTGATAACAGTTTGAAGGCCTTCAGGACCTATCACCCCCCTTCTGCAAATGAGCAAACCTAGTTCCCATCCCACAGATGCCTCTTACCAATAAGCCGGCATTCTTTATGGCCAGGGGAAGCCCCAGGAGCCCTGTGCCAATGTTGCATTTCAACAAGTGGATCAAAGTTTGCATCATCCTGTGGTGGGGAGAGTAGGGAGACAGAGGGTACTGTTAGTGGAAGGGAAGCATGGCCAGAAGCTCAGCCTCCTTCTGGCATCTCCAGAGTGCCTGATAGGGAGAGGGACAAAACCTGAAGAGGTGGACTTGGAGACAACTTTCAATTCTAGGGGTCTGTCCTGGAACATCTGATCTGGGGATGGTGCTAGTTCAAGTGACTCAACGAATATTTAATACACACTAGGCTCTAAAGGAAATAAAAATTGCTACCACTCTGGATAACGCTCTAGTACTGGTTGGTTCATTAATCCATCCAGTGATTTCTTTCATGAGTTATTCTCTCAAATAACATCTATCGCAACCTAATACGTGTCTATCAGTTAGATAGACAATGGAAAAAATTAGTAATAGTTGCTTCAATCTACAGTGAGGCATCAGGTTATTTATTAACTCACTAGAAACAAAAATCTATCATATATGGAATATTTACTGGTTTTAGTTTATTCTTTCATCCATTTGTTCAACCAATATTCATTGTGAATATGAACTGCTTGTACGCGCTCTCTCTCTCTGTCTCTCTCTCTCTCTATATATATATGTGTGTGTGTATATATCCATGAATTGCTATATAATATATTCACATTATGCACTGGGTACAATTTAATAATTTAATAACAATTGTTACTGTGCATATAGAGTACTTATGATGGTCCCAGCAGGGTGCTAGGGCCTAGGGTTCTAAATATTCTTCACGCCTGTGCTGGCAGCTCCTGCCCAGGCAGCTCCAATCCTGACGTGGATTGGGTAGGAAAAGTGGGAGCAGGATCATGAGAACAGAATCAAAAAGGAACTTAAATAAAAAGTACATGCACAAGCATTGAACCCAGAGGTAGGAGCACTTAATTCTGAGGTCTAGCTCTGCCACTAACCTACTGTGTTTGGTTACTACTTTGGGAAGCCCTTAGCTACTTAGATCCTGTTTCACTGCCAAAAAAGGAAGAACAATTCTGGTCTTGCCTATGTCCCAGGGAAGCTGTAAGACTCAAAAGAGGTGACAACATGATGAATCCTGGAATCATGAAGTGCTTCACAGATATGAGCATCACCATCATATCATTGTCTCATCATCATCATCCTCATCATCACTGCCACCTTTGGTTTGACCTTCATGGTGCTCACTTGTTAGAAAGGGCCTCCTTCAAGAAGGAGAAGAATTGGGATGATAGGGAAAAGGCAAGCATGGGCTGGCTTAAGCAAGTAGAAGTGCCCCCTCCATCCAGAACAAAAGGGTACCTTGAAGATGCCATTGGGAGATACAGACGAAGTCTCAGGCTAAGACAGAGATGCCTTTGTGCCACACTTAAATTGTCTGCAGGTGGCCAGGACAGCCAAAACCAACGCCCAAGTGAGTCCAGCACAGACAGTGCTCACGTCTCTTTGCCTTATCCATTAGGGAGTCATGGCAAGGGGCTTGCAAGAAGCTGTACCAGGTCTTTGCACTTCAAGGCTGACCTGAGAGAGGGTTGGATTGAGAGGACAGGCAGACTGTTGGGGACTTCTGTGACTTCAATCTATTGAGTGAAGTCTATTGGCCTAAGTTCTGTTAAGGCAGACTACTCACCTAAGGATGGGGGGGGGGGGCACCCATTGTCCCTTTACTTCCGAGAGATAATTTTTATTTCTTGATAACTGTAATTTGTCAATTCTTTAGTAGTAATTTCTCCAAAAGATGTGGTCCAATTTCCCACCCTCTGCTCTTTTTTCCTTTATCTCTCACTTCTTTTGCATGGTAGCACCAATGTCTTGCCCCTACTTGAATCCGATCTTGTGGGAAAGGTGAGACAAGGTTTTGGAGGAACCACTGCGCCTTAGCTGACAGCATTACTCATCTGGACCTTGAAGCATAAATAGATGTTGCGAGATCCCCTGGGACTTAAAAAATTTGGTTTATATTTTTTCTTGAAAACTACACAATTGCTATTATAAAAGGAAATTCCAAAATCCCACCAATTGAAAATAACCACACACTATAATTAGCATTCCTCTGGGCATCTTTATTTGCGCTAAATGCACAGAATTTTACATGAGGAGAACCACTACACATGCTGGATCCTCAACTAATTTTCTGTATGAATAAATGTGCTACACATTTTCATGTCCAGTAGATTTCCTCCATCACTTGTAATGACTGTATCATATTCTACCGTATGTTTGTTCCATGTGTTAACCTTTCTCTTAACGTTTCCAAGTTTTCAATATTATTGAAACTGCCTTTGCAAAATTATAGCTGAGGAAATTATGACAGCTAAAGAAATCAGACTTAACCAACTCCATCTTGCTTCTAACCTTTAAAAAGTCCTTGTTTATTCCTGGACATAGGCTGAACTAACTTTGGGAAGGAATTCACTTCATTATTTGACTCTTGATAACAACCCTTTCCCAAAAAGACCCCCGTCTTGCCTGGGGGCCATTCTGCCTCTACAGGACTAACAAATTAGCTATAAGACTGGAAAGTACAGTTTAGGGGTCATGCAGCCTCTGGCTTCAAGAGTCTGAACCTTCCCAAATTGCTGCTGGGGATAACATCACTATTGTAAAACCTAACATCGGTGCTTGAGTTATTTTGCAGACCCTGCACTCTGATGCATCATCTGAAACCACTCAGACCAGTAATCTGGCTCAACCAGTTCTGCCATCCCACCCAAGAACAGAAAACAACAAGAAAAACTCACTTCGAGCCCCTATCTCCAACCTGATCAATCAGCACTCCCCACTTTCCAAGCTCCTACCCACCAAATTATCTTTAAAAACTCTAATCCCCGAATGCTCTGGGAGACCGATTTGAGTGATAATAAAACTCCTGTCTCCTGCACAGCAGGCTCTGTGTGAATTACTCTTTCTCCACTGCAATTCCTGTCTTGATAAATCATCTCTGTCTAGGCAGCGGGGGAGGTGAACCCATTGGATGGTTACATTATAACAAGTACTTTGATAAAAATTATGCACACTTGTGCTATTATTTCTTTTTTTCTTTTTCTTTTTTTTTTGAGACAGAGTCTCACTCTGTGGCCCAGGCTGGAGTGCAGTGGTGCGATCTCGGCTCACTGCAAGCTCCGCCTCCCGGGTTCACACCATTCTCCTGCCTCAGTCTCCCGAGTAGCTGGGACTACAGGCGCCCACCACCACGCCCGGCTAATTTTTTTGTATTTTTAGTAGAGATGGAGTTTCACCGTGTTAGCCAGGATGGTCTCGATTTCCTGACCTCGTGATCTGCCCGCCTCAGCCTCCCAAAGTGTTGAGATTACAGGCGTGAGCCACCGTGCCCAGTCACTTATGCTATTATTTCATTAGAAAAAATTCCTAGAAGGGGTATTATTAATCAAAGGGTATATTTATTTATATTTCATTATACTTTAAAAACCTAGATTGTGAGACAGTACAAAATTCGAAAGGTGAAACACAATAATCCAAATCCTTATGAAGTGAATATAAATCTCTTTTCTCTCAGCCTCCAAATTCTCTTCCCCAGAGGCAACCACTGCTGTAAGTTTTCTGTGTGCGTGCACGAGTTGTGGACTTTCGGACAGTATTTGCCAAATAAATATTTGTATGTTTTATACAAATGACATTTTAGGATTTGACATGCAACATTGCCATCTAGAAAGATACCAATTTAATTCCTCCCAAAAAGATGAGAGAGGGCATTTCCTGATATCCTTATCAACACTGGGGATTGTCATTGATAATCTCTTTGTGTCCACAGTTATTACCAATCTGATGGTTACCAGATAGCAGTCTGATTGACAGTAAGTCCTAGAAGAAGAGTTCTGTCGAGATCATGTCCTTTGCAGGGACATAGATGGAGCTGGAAGCCAGTATACTCCGCAAACTAACAAAGGAACAGAAAACCAAACACTGCATGTTCTCACTTGTAAGTGGGAGCTGAACAATGAGAACACATGGACACAGGGAGGAGAACAAGACACACACTGGGGCTGGTTGGGGATGGGGGCCGGGGGAAGGGAGAGCATCAGGATAAATAGCTAATGCATGTGGGGCTTAATACCTAGGTGATGGATTAATAGATGCAGCGAACCACCATGGCACACGTTTACCTATGTAACAAACCTGCACGTCCTGTACATGTATCCTGAAGCTTAAAATTAAATTAAATTAAATTAAATTTTAAAAAACAGAGAGAAGAGTTCCATGTGTCTGAGTTTGGGGCAGTAAAGGTGGAGACCTGGAGTTAGCACCTTTTGTTTTCTGGATGGATGGCATGGGGGGTTGGGGAGAAGAGGGAGAGAGAATAATGGCAGATGTGTGAGGAGAAGAAGGCAGCCAGAGACTGTGGAAGAAAGAGAGGAAGGAAAGGGCAGGCAGCCTGAGATAGGAAACTATTCCTGGAGACTAGCTGCTCATGTTGAACGTGGCTGCTCTAGCTGGGTTCTTCGTGAAAACTGGGAAACAGGGCTAGTAGCCAGAGCCACAGTGATTGACCTCCTTAGATTCTGATTCATTTTTTATCCACGCATCTCCTGTTAATGGAATAAGCGTGTTAAGGAGACAGACGAAGGAAGACAAAGTCCAGAGCTGCAAAAACAGCAGTGTTTGACCTCAGGCCTGGAAGGGCGGTGCAGCCACTTACGATAGTCCAGCTTCCCCAGCAGGATGGACATTCTCTGAAGTAATGCTACTGCTGCTCTCCGAGGGGGACTGAGATCTATTGTCCAAGGAGTTCAGCTCACTGTTGTAGTCCCTTCCAAGCAATGACATCTTCAACACGGTGGGTAGGTGGTGGAGGCTCAGGGTTAAGGCTCTGAATGAGCCTCTGATGGGTCTGTCGCCAGAGAAACCATGGCTGCCGACCTGAGATGCTGGCTCCTAACCCCAAGGATGCGTGCTGCTGGCTGAAGCCTGACGTGCATGAATCAGGGAGGCGGTGGTGGCAGGAGAGGTGATGTTGATGATGCCTCACCTGGTTCTTGGGGGACTTATGAAAGACCCATCTCAGTCAGGGTGGTCCTCAGTTCCCCTCGAAATTGCTTGCCCAACCAGGACTTGCCTGGGCTTTTGGCCTCTCCTAGTTTAGCCCTTGCTGCTGTAGGGCAAAGTGAACAGTGTGACTGGGAGGAAGAAGGCACCATTGAATTGGAGGTCCTGGTGCCTGGACGTGGGGCCAGGCTCAGTGCTTGTCTGTCTTTGGCAAGGAAGAAACCAGAGCTACCTCACAATGGAGGCTGCCCAGCCAATGAGCTGCTGCAGAATCCTGGGATGCAGGTGAGGCCCAACAGAGCATAATCCAGCTACCATATTCCCTGGGTGGGGTGAAGAGTGGCTTGTAAGGCCCAGTTCAAATGCCACCTGCTCAGAATTTCTATACAGGAGGCATGTATGGCCTGCCAGTGATTTGGAAGGGAGTGCAGGTCATGTTTTAAAAAATCATTTGTTCAGAAAATATTTATTGAGCACCTAATATATGCTAGAAACTGTTCTCCATGCTAGGAATATATTAGGGTAGAAAACTTACTACAATCTCTCTTCTCATGGAATTTATGATCTGGAGGGTCTGGGGAAGACAGACAGTAAACAAAACAAATATATCAAGTATCTGTTAGTAAAAAGTGGTATAGAGAAAGTCCAGACAAGGGTAATGGAGAGTGTCAGCTAGGGGGAAGGTTGCAATTTTAGACTGGGTGATCAGAGAGGGCCTCACCTAGAAAGTGACATTTGGGCAAAGGGCTGAACAAGGTGAGGGAGCACAACTCATGTAGGTCTTGGGTAAGAAACTCTGAGCAGAGAGACAAGAAGTGCAAAGGTCCTAAGGTAGGAGAGTGCCTGGGGTGTTTTAGGAATGACAATGAGGTCTTATGGCTATCTAGGAGTGCACAGAGGAGAAGGGATTCTCCTGGTTTGTGCCTATTGCCCTGGCATAATTACTAATGGTGTCTCCCTTCCTTATTAAAAGTATCCTGCAGCTGAGCGAGGTGGTGCACACTTGTAGACCCAACTACTCAAGAGGCTGAAATGGGAAAATCGATTGAGGCCAGCCTGGGAAATGACCCTAAAAATAAAATAAAATAGGCCAGGCGCAGTGGCTCACACCTGGAATCCCAGCACTTTGGGAGGCCGAGGTGGGCAGATCACCTGAGGTTGGGAGTTAGAGACCAACCTGGCCAACATGGTGAAATCCTATCTCTAGTAAAAATACAAAAATTAGCTGAGCTTGGTGGCATATACCTATAGTCCCAGCTACTTGGGAGGCTGAGGCAGGAGAATCGCTTGAACCTGGGAGGCGGTGGTTGCAGTGAGCAGAGATCGCACCATTGCACTCCAGCCTGGGTGACAAGAATAAAATTCCATCTCAAAATAAATAAATAAATAAATAAAATAAAATAAAAAGAGATAACCTGGTTTGGATGATAAATTACATAGTCACACCAGAGATGTAGCTAAAGAGGAGAGATGAGAAATCATGGAGGGTTCTGAGCAGAGAAGTGACATTACTTAAACGTTTTGACAGGATGTCTCTGGCCTTTTTTTTTTTTTTTGTGAGCAGATTGAAGGGGTGCAAGGGGGTATCAATCAGGAGGCTATTACAATAATCCAGGAGGGTGTTGCAATGACCCAAATGTCAGTCTGTGATGGCTTAACAGGGAGGTAGTGAAAGAGATGGTGAGAAGTGACTGAATCCTGGATACTTTTAAAGATAAAGCCAAGAGGATGTGCTGATGAACTTGAGGTGGGGTGTAAAAGAGAGAGGAATCAAGGAAGACTCCAATATTTTTGACGTGAGTAACAGAATGGGACCGGCATTAACAAAATCGTGTCCGGAAGCTGCTTTTGCAGAGCACGCACCAGCACTGAACTTTGATTGCGTGTTTGTTTGGGACGACTGCACAGGTTGCTTATGAAGCTCATGGGGGCCAAGGTACTCCCCATACCACCTCTTAGTGCTGCTGCAAAATCAGCACTGGGAGCTTCTCTCTTCGTCTGAATATCAAATGAAATACCTCTCTCCTCTGATGTCCAAATATTTTTCTCAAGTTGAAAATAACTTCCCCTCCCCTGTTGCACTTACTCATTTATTATTTTATTTTATTTTTATTTTTTGAGACAGGGTCTCACTGTCGCCCAGGCTGAAGTGCAGTGGCACAATCACAGCTCACTGCAACCTCCTCCTCCCGGGCTCAAGCGATCCTCCCACCTCAGCCTCCCGAGTAAGCAACTATATGCCAATAAATTGGAAAATCTACAAGAAATGGACAAATTCCTAGACACATACAATCTACCAAGATCGAACCAGAAAGAAATCCAAAACCTGAAGAGACCAATAACAAGTAATGAGATCAAAGCCATAATAAAAAGTCTCCAGGTAAAGGAAAGCCTTGGACCCTCTGGCTTAACTGCTGACTTCTACTAAACATTTAAAGAAGAACTAATAAGAACTCAAACTATTTCAAAACATAGAAGAAGAGGGAATGCTTCCAAACTCATTGAATATTATAGAAGTTCAGTATTACTCCGATACCAAAACAAGACAAAGATACATTAAAAAAAAAAAAAAAAGAAAAGAAAAGAAAAGGAAACTACAGGCCAACATCCTTTTGTATGCTTGCTTGCTCTGGGTGGTGGTGATTTCCACAGTCTCTGCTTTATAGTTGTGAGTTTTGCTTTGCCTTGTTTTATTTATTTATTTTTTTTATTTTTTATTTTTTTATTATTATACTTTGAGTTCTAGGGTACATGTGCATAACGTGCAGGTTTGTTACATATGTATACTTGTGCCATGTTGGTGTGCTGCAACCATCAACTCGTCAGCACCCATCAACTCGTCATTTACATCAGGTATAACTCCCAATGCAATCCCTCTCCCCTCCCCCCTCCCCATGATAGGCCCCGGTGTGTGATGTTCCCCTTCCCGAGTCCAAGTGATCTCATTGTTCAGTTCCCACCTATGAGTGAGAACATGCAGTTTTTGGTTTTGTGTTCTTGTGATAGTTTGCTAAGAATGATGGTTTCCAGCTGCATCCATGTCCCTACAAAGGACACAAACTCATCCTTTTTGATGGCTGCATAGTATTCCATGGTGTATATGTGCCACATTTTCTTAATCCAGTCTGTCACTGATGGACATTTGGGTTGATTCCAAGTCTTTGCTATTGTGAATAGTGCTGCAATAAACATACGTGTGCATGTGTCTTTATAGCAGTATGATTTATAATCCTTTGGGTATATACCCAGTAATGGGATGGCTGGGTCATATGGTACATCTAGTTCTAGATCCTTGAGGAATCGCCATACTGTTTTCCATAATGGTTGAACTAGTTTACAATCCCACCAACAGTGTAAAAGTGTTCCTATTTCTCCACATCCTCTCCAGCACCTGTTGTTTCCTGACTTTTTAATGATTGCCATTCTAACTGGTGTGAGATGGTATCTCATTGTGGTTTTGATTTGCATTTCTCTGATGGCCAGTGATGATGAGCATTTTTTCATGTGCCTGTTGGCTGTATGAATGTCTTCTTTTGAGAAATGTCTGTTCATATCCTTTGCCCACTTTCTGATGGGGTTGTTTGTTTTTTTCTTGTAAATTTGTTTCAGTTCTTTGTAGGTTCTGGATATTAGCCCTTTGTCAGATGAGTAGATTGCAAAAATTTTCTCCCATTCTGTAGGTTGCCTGTTCACTCTGATGGTAGTTTCTTTTGCTGTGCAGAAGCTCTTTAGTTTAATGAGATCCCATTTGTCAATTTTGGCTTTTGCTGCCGTTGCTTTTGGTGTTTTAGACATGAAGTCTTTGCCCATGCCTATGTCCTGAATGGTACTACCTAGGTTTTCCTCTAGGATTTTTATGGTATTAGGTCTAACATTTAAGTCTCTAATCCATCTTGAATTAATTTTCGTATAAGGAGTAAGGAAAGGATCCAGTTTCAGCTTTCTACTTATGGCTAGCCAATTTTCCCAACACCATTTATTAAATAGGGAATCTTTTCCCTATTTCTTGTTTCTCTCAGGTTTGTCAAAGATCAGATGGCTGTAGATGTGTGGTATTATTTCTGAGGACTCTGTTCTGTTCCATTGGTCTATATCTCTGTTTTGGTACCAGTACCATGCTGTTTTGGTTACTGTAGCCTTGTAGTATAGTTTGAAGTCAGGTAGCGTGATGCCTCCAGCTTTGTTCTTTTGACTTAGGATTGTCTTGGAGATGCGGGCTCTTATTTGGTTCCATATGAACTTTAAAGCAGTTTTTTCCAATTCTGTGAAGAAACTCATTGGTAGCTTGATGGGGATGGCATTGAATCTATAAATTACCTTGGGCAGTATGGCCATTTTCACGATATTGATTCTTCCTATCCATGAGCATGGTATGTTCTTCCATTTGTTTGTGTCCTCTTTGATTTCACTGAGCAGTGGTTTGTAGTTCTCCTTGAAGAGGTCCTTTACATCCCTTGTCAGTTGGATTCCTAGGTATTTGATTCTCTTTGAAGCAATTGTGAATGGAAGTTCATTCCTGATTTGGCTCTCTGTTTGTCTGTTACTGGTGTATAAGAATGCTTGTGATTTTTGCACATTAATTTTGTATCCTGAGACTTTGCTGAAGTTGCTTATCAGCTTAAGGAGATTTTGGGCTGAGACAATGGGGTTTTCTAAATATACAATCATGTCATCTGCAAAGAGGGACAATTTGACTTCTTCTTTTCCTAACTGAATACCCTTGATTTCTTTCTCTTGCCTGATTGCCCTAGCCAGAACTTCCAACACTATGTTGAATAGGAGTGGTGAGAGAGGGCATCCCTGTCTTGTGCCAGTTTTCAAAGGGAATTTTTCCAGTTTTTGCCCATTCAGTATGATATTGGCTGTGGGTTTGTCATAAATAGCTCTTATTATTTTGAGGTATGTTCCATCAATACCGAATTTATTGAGAGTTTTTAGCATGAAGGGCTGTTGAATTTTGTCAAAAGCCTTTTCTGCATCTATTGAGATAATCATGTGGTTCTTGTCTTTGGTTCTGTTTATATGCTGGATTATGTTTATTGATTTGCGAATGTTGAACCAGCCTTGCATCCCAGGGATGAAGCCCACTTGATCATGGTGGATAAGCTTTTTGATGTGTTGCTGAATCCGGTTTGCCAGTATTTTATTGAGGATTTTTGCATCGATGTTCATCAGGGATATTGGTCTAAAATTCTCTTTTTTTGTTGTGTCTCTGCCAGGCTTTGGTAT